TGAAAATTGGGGATAAGGTTTCACTTCAATACGCATCAAAGCCACCAGCATTGTGATTTATTGTAACGCTAACCGGGCCATTTTGTGAGAGAGAGAGAGAAAATAGAAATAATAAAAAAATATTTTTTCGGGAAAAAACTAGGAATCTCAAACGGCATTAAAGTAATTGCTATACGCTTAGTGGCATTTAATTTGAGGCTGGCGGTTGTTATAATAGTTATTAAAATGACCGGGGTCAAGGGTTCACTGTATAAAATCCTTCTCAGGCCCCACTGGTCAGTAACTGGGACCAGATGGCTGCACCTATTTGCATGTCAGGTAGAATTTGCCTGCGGGGCGTCTCACTTCGGCTTTGGGGTCAGCCGAGGCAGTTCCTGCCCCCGGCGGCCCCCACTCCACGGAGCTGGCTCCACCACCACCACCACCACCACCCCAAACTCCTCCAACGCCCCACGCGTGCTCACGCCCGCTCTTCCTATTGCTTATACACTTTATAAATCGCTAAAATGTCTTTATCTTTACGCTGTGTCGACTTAACAACAACAAAAAAGCATGCCACGCGCGCTCTTAAACGCAACGGTTCGTTCACCAACGAGCTTGGCTATTTTGTGCAGTTTTGCTGATTGTTAACTTGTGTGTAATCCTGCATATCAAGTCGCGTACTGTACATAGGTAGATGGACTGAATATGGCAGAAGCCAAATAGAAGCACTCGCCTTTAGAGCAGCAAGGCCCTGTGCGCTTATATCCAGAGTAGTTTCTTGAAACAGAAGTTGCATTCCCACCCCCCCAATGTAAGGATATGTTGCTTTTACCAATCGTGTTCTTTTACATCGTGCTTATATACAGACTAGCTTGTTTGCCCGTCCTAGGACGGAAGCTGTAATATTTACGAATTTTTTTAGCAGAGTATAATTGTATCTTGTGTAAATTTAATGGCAGTGAATCTTGCACGATAGTAAGTCATCAAATACTTTACTGCAGTTCACTGTAGCACTGTATTAATGGCAGTGAATCTGGCACAAAACGAAGTCATAAAACACCTCCCTTCATGTCCCTCTAGCTCTGTATATAACTGACCTTCAATTTGTTCAAATTCACTGCTCTAATACTTTATTCTCTTCTGCTTTTGGTCGCTGGGGTTGAAATAAATTGGAATTCGATACAATATCTGGAAAATCACCAAGAAATGTCTATTTTACCATAATGTAGAAGCATAAATTAAACTTACCTTTTGTCTGAAGTGCTGAAGAAATGAATAAAGACACCAAATCCACTTTGTTGCTGCGTATAATTATTTATTAGATTCACTTTCAATTAAGAAACGTCAAACTTAAAGCGAATTTGCTGGAAAAAAATGATTTCCGCTCGACTTTCTGCGTGAGTGTAAAATCCACCTGCTCATGAATATTAATGACGTGGGGGTGCGGCATGTGGAGTGACGTCACGCGCGTTACACACAAACAGACATTATTGGCTCATAGTAGTAATTCTGCCGTATATAAAATAATTTAGACTTGACCTCATCTGTAATTTAAAAAGGGCTTCTGCCTTCAACACAAGCATAATTTACAAATCCTCAGGTCTTACTATAAGGTATGCACAAGGAGTCTGTCATAGTCCACTGCACTGACAAAGACGTGTGGAGAGCACAATGTCAGTCAATTGCTACGCCGCAGCAGCAGCAGCAGCGGCAGTTTCACCGTAGCGCCCCGTCTAGGTGCCCAGCGATGCTGCGGTAGTTGGAATCAGGAGGTCTGAATCAGATTTCCAGCCGGAGAGGGCCTTGGTGAGGCTGCTGAGTTTCACAGCGGAGTGTGGACTTGTGCACAGGGACACCTGCTGCACGTGTGAACGCGATGGCAGGAAGTGGGATAAGCAGTTCACGGGCGGCGGAGGCGACGGCGGCATTGAAACAGATATTGCTGAAGGCTTGACGGCTGCAGGGCCCGACGTGAGGTCGGGGGTCGCTGTGACGCGTACCCTGAGGCCTCTACTGTCATGGTGTCGTCGTGCTCGCGTCACCATGCTAGAAGCGCATTGACCAACGTTGACCATTATGTGGAGAAATTACAATCTCGTGACCTGATGATGCCTTGTCATGTACGAGTCGATTGTGTCCAAAGAGACTCGTACTTGCTCTTGATCCATCCCACTTTTGCAGCCCTTAAACAATCCACTGCTGGATCAAGGCCTTGTCGGTCACGTGGGCTGTCTGACCATACTTCGCCACGCTTGTCAGTGCGGGTTCAGTGAAGAGGGGAACTCTGGGATAGGCTCATTGTTGTACTGTAATATGCGCCTCCAATTATGCTCCCCACATGAACGGTGTGATGTATGGTTAAACAGCCCCTATGACCCACATGTAGCAGACCCTCATCTGATGGTAGAGTGACAGAATGGCTGTGCATGCATATGAACATTGAATATTAACTTGGGCATGAGTTTAAAAACTGGGGCCCTCAAGCATACGCTGTTGACCACGTCACAGCCTTGACCGAGGGAAACCCCTCTGTAATGCCTCAACTGGTACACACATTTGTGTAACGGGGGAATGTCTCCGATTCACGCCCTCTGGATATGGGGCTGCCCCAGTTGGGAGTGAGAGGATTTGGGGAGAAAGTTCACTTGTACCTCATCATTGAACATTGTTGAAATTGTTTAACTTACCAACTAATTGGCAGTACTCTATTTCCGTGAACATTTTGCCAATGAAAGTTTAAAGCCGTGCTCGTGTCCACTCGCTATTTTTGTTTGTCACAGCCTCGCGCAGGATTGGCTCTGGCTCAAGGGAGCCGGCTCAGAGCCGTGCTTGACTTGAGCCGGCTCTAAGCACAGACCGGGCCACGTTCAGGATTCCCATGAGCCAAGGCCGAGCCAGGCCACGGCCGAACCAGGCCACGGCCGAGCCAGGCCACGGCCGAGCCACTCGTGCGTCTTTGGAAGAAGCCGAGCGACCCAAGCCGGAGCCGAGCCCTGAGTTTGAGGCCGAGCCAGAACAGAGACGCTGCTTAGGGTACAGCCCTAAGTAATGCCATTTTTGTTGATAATATTTGGCACTTTTGTAAAGAAGTGAGCATCAAAACTATATTGAGTAATCAGTATTATCAATGAGCCACTTTAATTATTTTATATTTTTTAACCATTTTTTCTTAGATGTATCCAAGCATTTTTTTCAAAGAAATTATTTGGTGAGTTTATCAGCATTTTCGTTTTGGCGCAAGCTGTTTTTACCTCATGCTCGAGGTGTTATCGAGGAATAATACAGTAATGCAATACGTGGGAGCTACACCAGAGCTGCTGGGGTGGGTGTGCCTTTGGTTGTTGAGGCTCGGTCCATTTAGTGAATTATTCAGCTTGTTGTGTGGCCATCTTTGGGGAGGTGATCAAACACGACCGTGAACACAGCAATAATTCGCGTGATTGTGGAGAATATATATCCGTGTCTCCACGTCAGTATACTTTACGCAACTTATTCCCTCCAACAGCCTTCTGGGAGTGCGTCGTTCCCGCACGGCTGATTGAATTCAAGCAGTTTCGACATAGTGTCTCATCAGCAGGACCCATATCTTAAAGAGAGGGATCCGTGCCTATAACATCTGGAAGTTCACCAACACTGATTCAAGCAAGCCTGACACTGCTGATGAGGTTCTGTATGTCGAAACCAGCACAGAGTTTGCTTGTATTGAGTCAGCGTGCACCTAGGAAGTAATCTCAAAGTGGCTGGCCTCGTCATGTTTAAATTAATGTAGGCATAAGACCTTAAGAGTCGTCACTATCAGTCGCCATTAAAAATATTAAAAAGAGAGCCACATGTCTAAAAGGTGTATTAGTTGCAGGATGAAATCCACCAAGCTTCTAAAGCTAATATTTAAAGTGGTATTGTGACCTCTACTGGCACGATCGGCAATTGCAATAGTGGTTTTATTTATTTGTAGTTGTTGACACACGAGTTGGCGACCGCAGTCACGCGTCGTGACTTTGCGTGGCGTAATGATGTTGCACACAGCTGCCAGGGGTGCACCGTGCCGACCAGCAGTGCCCGTGCTTGTTTGTTGACGGTCAAGTTGACCGGTGACACGCCGTCGTGGTTTGCAATTGACTGCACATTTCCACACGCGCACACGTACGCAGTCTCGTTCGCGCCCACGCGCAGTCATAACGTTCACGCGCGTGTGTGCGCGTGTGAACGTCCGTGGGGATACAGCCACACCATTCACCACCCAATAATCTTGGAGCTCACTTGGGGGGTCTGCCAGGAGGGACCCCGGGGAGGGGTGGACGCTGCTGCGCTGCGCGTGGCGTGCGCTCCGCACCTGAGGCCCCATCGTGTCACGAGGCCACCTGAAGTGGAGGGTCGCCTTGAACGCACATCTGGACACACCTGGACACACCTGCACGCACGGACACACACAGGCATTATTTGAAACCTAGACTGCTGAGGAAAGCACCGTTGGGCGAGCGCCTGCTGTGAATGGCATTGCGCGTGTCGTGGTGCCTGGGCAGGGCGACATCTTTGCAGCAGCTGGCCAACATTCGCTCGCAAAGTGCTAATGCCGACACAATGCGATTCCATACCCTGCAGGCTAATTACAATAATGGGCTCATTCATTATATTCTCATACAGCGATATAAACCCACTCCCAAAAGAAAAAGGAAAAACACTTTGATTTATATTCACATGAATGTCAGCTCATTCACGTGAACGAGCTGACAGGGTGAAGGAAGGTTTTCTAATACCCGTCCATCGTCTAGACTTTAGAACAGAGCTTCTTGTTTTCCCTACACTCCATTTCCTCCATCGCCTGCCTCACGCTGGTTACTGGGTGGGACCCTTCTTGTTGGAGCTACGGAACGATCGCTTTCACGCTCTCCCATGACGATAAGTCAGAGGGAGAGGGGCATTGGAAGTCAGTGGGGTGCCTAGAAATGATTCTGTCTGCGCGAGTTGCACGCTGTGTGGAAAGCGACACATCCGCTCGATTGCTGGCATCGTCGCAGGAGGACCTGCACAGGGTCCTGTACGAGGAGAGCGACCGCCGGTGCCTGGGCCTGCACCTGGAGGCCTGCGTGGCGCTGCTCGACTCGAGCGGAGGGCTCGGCGTGGCGGATTGCGAGCGGGAGGGCTGCGAGGAGAGTGTGCGCTCGCTCCTGGCCCTCGCCGCGCGCGGGGAGGATTGTGCGGCGACCTTCGACCCGGTGCTGGCCGCCCGCGCCCTCCGCATGGCCGCCTGCCTGCTGCCTCGCCTCGTCTCCGACAGGTTACGGCGCGCGCGGGTCGCAAGCGTCGACGATATTCGTCTCCTTACCCCCCCCCTCCCCTGACAGCTTCGCCAACACCTCTCGCTTCCAAGAGTCCGGCGATTCAGAATGTGCTGTCTCAAATAAAGAAGCACATTCAAGTTGGTCTCTCGTCAAAAATGTTTTTGCATCGAACCTTCAGTTTGGTCAGTCCCTTGAAGAACATCGGAACCAAGGGTTCACTGTACCTACAACAACCACCATCGAAGGGGAAACTCCTCATTACCAATTTTTGCCCGTCCAATTATACACTGTGTAACATTTTTTTCTGTTCCTGGGTAGTAAGTGTTATTTCCTAATTGCTTATGTCTCAAAAATACAGAAAATCGATATTATTCCTCACACACTTTGCTTTTGTGACCAGGATAGTGATATTTTTTTTAATTTACCTATTTTCAATGAAAAAACGGACGAATTTGTGTCTTTTCGTTCACATGAAGTCAGACAAAAACAACATACGAATCAAAATTACAATTTCTAAATATCACTGTCCTGGTCACAAAAGCAAAGTTTGTAGGGAATAATAGACATTTTCTCTACTCTTTAGGCATTAGCAATTACACTACCCAGGAACAAAAATTGTGTTACATCGTGTTATCTGTTGCCTGTCCAATTGTCTGTTGCCTGTCCAACTGTCTGTTGCCTGTCCAACAGTCTGTTGCCTTCGCTTTGTTGAAGCCCGAGCTGTGACCTCTCACTTCTTCTCCGCTTCACGACAACTTTTCTCGATCCTCGGCGTTGGTCTTTTCTCTCCGGTTGCATGTTTGGTTTCTCCTTCCCGAATCGCCGTCACACAACGGGAGCGTCTGAAAATCTTCAATTTGGGAGCAAGCACGCGGCAGCCAAAGTGCGGTGACGGTTGAAAGTATCCAGCCCCGCTCCCTCTTTTTGGGTTTCACCTGTTCCACGTGTTCTTACATGTGTAGAAATTAACATCACATTGCTTGTGGCTTTATATAGACCACACTATGCATCGAGAGGTACGTATAAATGCATGTTTTCCTGATGCCTGAAATCCAGCAGATATTGCCACACACAGTGAGGGCTCTGTGTTTCCCAGAGAGCATTCTTTGGATGTGGGGCTCACAAGGAGAGCACAAGAAGACTGATTTTTCCAGAGTGTCCACAGAGTGAAATTTGAAGCAGTGCAGGAACAGGCTGGCTAATTAACTCATTAATGAACGCGCGTGCTCAGAATGGCGTTGTGGCCGTTCTGCTGGGCTCCGCTAAAATTATTCACTTATTTATTTTCTTACATTGTACATTGATGTGGCTGCATTAATTCGGTTTATATATTAATTTATTTTCCTCCCCGGGCCCCCCCCCACCTCACTACAAAATGCCGTGTTGCACGCGTTTCCGTTGGATTAATTTCACCTGGCAGCCGTTTTCACAAGGAGTAACGTGAGCTCATCTCTGCGCGCCGGGCTCCGCGCTCGCCACATGTGCGCTACTGCGGGGGCCCAGCTGCCGCTTGCGCGACGCTCGCGCCGCCAGCGTCACCTGAAACAAAGCAAACAACGCCCGAGTGTGAGGTTTCTGCGGCGGACTTAATAGCGCCATTAGCTGCCTTAAAAATCTTTAATGCTATGTTTTTTTGCGATGCGAAATTGATGGATATACTAATAAGACTGGACCAATACTTTTGGTTGAATAACAGTTTACATTTGAAGGTATTGCATGGAGCTATCATTCAATAATTCTCAACAGTTGCCAACAATGTCTCGCTCTTACAGACCCCTTTGCGGTGGTTAACGAATGAAAAAGCTCCAGTTTTGATCGCTCTGTGGGTCGAATTCTTCCGATCCAAAACCTAATTTTGATCGCGCAAGAAAACCTTGCACGAACTCATTTCTTTTCAGCAACTTGTGGCTTACAGAGTAAAACCTGATAAATGAGCATCGAGGATATTTTCCTCTCCGAAGTGTTCTTGGGGTTGTTGGACGTTGACGTCCGACGTTTCTCTCCATGTCAAACGTCGGACATCGCGCCAAGCCTCGCGCGGCACGACCTGAGAGACAGCGGAGAGCCGTGTGGCGCAAGCACTCGGAAATAGCGAGCATTCGCAGATTTTAATACGCAACCTTTTCTCTCTCGATCTTGAAGCAAAAGTAGTTGGGAGTACAGGAATGTGTGTGTTTGTGTGTGTAGCTGGTGCATCTACCGGTCAGCCAACCCATGGCACCTGGGTATGTCCTATGACCTCCCGTCAGCGAGCCTTCGACACTTCACGTGGCCTCAAAGTGCACCTCGCCTGGCACAGGTGTCATGGTGACGTCACCGTCACTTAGTGGCGAATGGCGCATATTGATATTGGTGTGACCAGATTTGTATAACTTCATCGACACTGGACAAGAGTTTTGGGTGCATCTGCCAATCCAGAGCAGCTGATAATATGGAGAACCCGGCAATATTTTTCTCTTCCAATATTGGTTTGTGTTTCTAGATTTGAAGCTTTCGTGACTGCAAGGATTCATATTCTTAGGTTTTTTCGGTAAAGTCACGTAGGTAAAAAATTTAAATTAATGAAATAAAAATAAAATAAAAATCACGACGTTTCGGAGGCAACACAAGCCTCCGTCTTCAGGTGGAACCGTCACAGCACGATAGCTGTATCAGTGGTTTGTGTGTTTTTTTCTTTGGGTATGTTTGCACATGGCGCCGTGAACAGGACTGCAGACGAGCGTACCCTCCCGCTGATCGAGCGCTGGAGTCTGACGCTCGAGACCAACGCCTCCGACTCTTCTCCGGACGTGCTGCGCTTGGCAGCGGCGAGCAGCTTGCGTCTGGCGGGGCGGGTGGCCGTCACGTTCGGCCTGCGCGTGCGGGGGAGGGCACTCCCCATAGCAGTCAGGTAACCCACTGCACAAAACACAAACTAAAAACTATTTATAAACTAAACTATTTTTATTTTTAAGGCCCATTGAGCTATATGGCTCTTTTTCAGAAGCGACCTGGTCACAAATGGTAGCTCAAAGTAGTAGCTTATCATAATGTGGAAATTGATAGCAGCCAAATAGTCGAAACACATTGAGGACTCCAAATATACAGACGTGTGAGGGTCGGGATCGAACCCATGACCTCCTGCACACCAGGCGAGGGAGTTAACATCTCGCCACCGCGGCACCATAAAACAAAAGCTCCACGCCAAGTCACATCGGAAACCAGACCGACTCTGTTCAAATGTGTTCGGAGTCGTGTCGGAAGAAATTCATCTTATATTAACATCGTAAACGTGGATTGTCGTAAAATGAAGATCACCTGTATTGTTGTTGATTTTGCATTTCGTGTTTTATCCCTTGAGGCTCACCGGATAATTAGTTCTATTTGTTTATGTTATACATTTTAAAAAATACTTATTTGGGACTCATTCTATTTGCAAGATAAGATATTTTAATCACTGTAATTTTACATAATGATGCAGTGTTTATGACAAAGGTGATAATTTTCATTGTTTTGTTAAATTTATGTGGTCGAAATGATCAACAGCCTGGACTTCACAGTCCAGAGGTCTCTGATGTTCACGTGTGGTGGAGTCGAGTGTGGGCACTGCCAAGATGTCGGGCCAGTGTGGAAGAGTAGATCAAATACCATTTAGAGGGGTTCCCTCTCGCGGAAAGCCTTCAGCCAGCAGTGGCATGAGCAGGAAATGTGCACGGCTTGCAACTTTACCTTTTCATTTGTTCCATTGGGAGCTAGAATTAGACTGAGGGTGGCGGTGCGCTTGGAGGGACACGCGTGATGAGAGTGCGCGCGTGTGTGTGTGTGTATTGCACCGAATACCGCTTGACACGTGTTATTGCAGTGTTTACCCTGGGAGCAACCTTCACTCGAGTCTCGTGTTCACCTTTACCTGCACGATGCGCCTGCTCTTCATCGTGGGAATTGCTGTGAAGTTGTTAATTCAATCTGCACTCCTCTGTACGTCTCCATGTTGCTTTGAGGACTGCGACACTTCGTGTTCCGTGTCGCTTTGGGCGTGAGCTAAGATGTGCGTGCATTTCAACTTCTCTTTCACATGTGCAGTTTTAATTAGTTTATTTGCTCTTTTACAAAAATGTACATACTCAATCTTACAAGCTAGAGCTTATCAGGTGACATGCTCGGAGTAGAGCTGTACTTCCAAAGCATGCGTTATGGAACGTTTGTTTATCGGGGAACTTTCTCAGGAGAGCCCTGGGGTGTCGCTGTGGGCTTTTTTCGTCTTAAAAATTCAGTCATTTAAAAGTAAAATTTCAAATGTGACCATGACACCGGCACTGAAATGGCAGCGTCGTGGCAAACTCTTTTTTAGAATGACATCACGGGGTCTTCACCGTCCACGGCGGAGCAGATGGCACGCAGTAAGAATCGGAATCTTTATGTATATTGTAGGAGGGATCCGATGAGCTACCAAGCTCTTCTTCACACATGTCCAGTAGGGACGGGTCATAAAGTTACAATAAACAAAAACACGACAGAGGAATGCAAAGTATAGGAAGGGTGAGCAAACCACACAAAAAGTTAAACTAAACTATTTTTCTATGTTACCATGTAAAGCCTGCTGAGCTATTACCTTCTTTTTCAGAAGCTACCTAGCCACAAATGACAGCTCAATGAGAAGTGGCTTATCATGTGGAAATGTATAGCAGCCAAATAATCCAAATGATCTAAACGCTCGTTTCTTAATTCGGAGCGAAAACCCCGGAGGTGACACGGGCCACTGCGGCGTCAACCAGGGCGGCCGCACCGCCACCATTTTCAAAATGGATTCTATTTCCAATTCGCCCCCCCCCCCCTTCCACCGTGAATAATCCTCCAACAATCCCCATCCGTTCCGTTCGTTCTCGTGGACTCGACGATTGGGACCGGTGTGCAGAGGGCGAAATCAAGAGTGGTGGCTGTGACTGACGAATGTTGGCGGCCATGCAATGTTAGTTAGCAAGCTACGTGGAATGCTTCTCCATACGTTTGCATGTCTCTGACTCGTTTTAACGTCGACATCTGAGCCTAATATTAAACCAGGCAGTCGTAGGTTACATGTAGGTATGTGCGTTCAACTTCTTTTGCACCGTACGTAGCCAACCGTGCTAATTGGAGGTAATGCATCTGTTTTGTTTGCGTCGGCGATGATGTAATTCATACAGAAGAAATTGAGTTCTGTACAAATATAGTCGAGTTTTATCAATACGTTCGAAAGGGAATTTGTTGTCGTAGCGATGAACCTGGCGACCTGAGTGGCGAGCGATATCTGAGCCATTCCTGGCTCTGCCAAACTTCACCAGGCTGCACTAACCGGCACGGAGAAGTGTGCTCAAATAACCCCCACGAGGCCTTGTACCAGCAGTGGATTGACCGAGTGCTGTATCACTATCATCGTTGAGTAATTAATCCTTACCTTAAACTTGACTCAAATAACAACGCTTGAAACGCACCAAATTAAATAGGGCTGTGAAATTGAGTGAGCTTAAAAAAATCGTTCCACTTCATTTCAACTCAAACATCGCAGCACTTTCCGCACACGTGAAAGACAGAAAAAAAATCTATCGCGAGTTGTATTTTTAGACTTATTTTGTGAACATATTTACCTCCATAGTTGATTTTTCATGCCCTCGCCGCCAAATTTACGAGACACCCGTTCCTCTTCGGCTTGCATAACGTAGCGATGTAGATTCCTTCCCCCCCCCCCTTCTCAAAACTCGACTACCACAACTACGCCGAGGAGGCTGTTTTAGTCGTGAGCAGGCACGCTGCTCGTTCGTGCTCGCTCACAATCCAGCTGGGAGGCTTGTACTCGAGCTGTCACGTGGAGGTGTTCTGCATTGTTTCACGTGTGTCCCGCACTCCGCGTCCCCTGTGAATCGCCCCACCTGCAGAGCCCGACTCTTAAGAAGCCAGCGACGTGTTGTGGGGAAGGACTTGTCAGAGAGCATTACCCCATCATGGAGAAATTCCACATGTTTATCAATGTACTTCAGACTCGTGCGTGCGCGCACGTGTGCACAAGCACTTGTCAAATATTTTGCGCCCACCACGTTTCCGCAGTGGGACTAGGCAGCCGTTCGGATCCCACGATTGATCTCGGCTAGCTGATGATGCCCTACAGCGCAGAATGCGAACTCTTGTCTGAAGCGGCAGGGGCTTTTGCCCTCGCCACCCTCTTTTCGATTCATTGGAGAAATGTGTGCCGGCTGAACTACGACTCCCGCGGAAGCTTCAGTGACGCTGATTACCCAGTCCCTGCCACCAAGAATCCCTAGCCCAGAGTGTTGGTCTTCCATCTGGCTCATGAGATCTGTCGACTCACTCTCATAGCTAAACATCAGGAGACCCACTTCCTCCTTTGCTCGGAGGACTTTAGAGATGTTCTGCACCGCAAGGCTACAGATGTACATGTATAATGGTGCCTGCTTAACAACTGAAAGTGCCTTACATCACGTTTCACCTTAACCATTCCATGCCCTGCTGCGGCTTCATCAAGGGGATCCTCCAGTGGCAGCTGTCTCTGCGTGGCGCAAGGCAAGATCAGCACTCTTGGATCATAAATTTGCTTAAGTTTATGCCATTCGGCAAATCTGACAGTGGGAGCTTAGCATAGTAGAATGTTTTAAATGGCAAAAGGCATTCAGCTTTTAACGTGTGAACCCATGGGCTGCTTGTGATCATTACAATTCTCCGCCCCTGCTGGACATCAGCGAAACAGAGATTCATAGCTCATGGGATTCCCCCTCCACGAGTCTCAATAAAGATTCTGATTCTGACAATTCAGGTGCGACGAACCAAACCCCTCCATGAATATCCCGTGAGATGTACACAATCCTTCACGCTCCTCATTGTCACAAAGTCAACGCATATCATCGGCCGTGATTTATGAACTGCTGGATGAAGGCCTTTCCGGGTCGTCACCACCTCTCACCGTCCTGCAATGTAACAATGCATCCAGCACCTGCGCAAGAGCCGATTTCATGGCTCCATCTCTGCAGCAGTCCGTTCCCTCTGCTGCAGCGCGTTCCCTCCCCCGCCGCCGGGCTGACTCAGTCGGTACATCTCGAGACTCGTAATGCGCACGCATCCATATTTATGAAGGACACCCAATTATACGTTCTGATCTTACAGTTCCCTGTGCGTTCTCGTTGCATGAGTGTTTGGATGGCTGTCCGTGCTTTGGGCTTCATCTACAAGATTGATGGACAATTTTGCTGTAAATCTTATCCAACACTTGCTGATTTGAGTTCACGATGCGCTGCTGCACTGCCCTCTACTGTTGACACCAGGGACTTGCCAGTTCTGTTCCTTGGCATAATTAACATTAAAAATAGCAGTAGCTTTTTTAATACATGAATTAAAATAACAACAATCTTCCAGTCACTTGCCGTGTACGGAACAATCGCGTGCTCTCGTGCCCGCCAGGCTTGCGCGGGCCGCCGTCCTTCTGCTGTGCGACGAGGAAGAGGCCGCTCGGCTGGACGCGGCCTGCTTTGCCTCCTGCTTCTCGGAGCTCGAGCTGGAGGGGGAAGAGGAGGAGGCGACGCCGTCGCCGCTTCCGCAGCAGGAGAGCCAGGAGGGGGAGCAGGAGGAGAAGGAGGCGACGCCGTCGCCGCTGCCGCAGCAGGAGCGGCGGGAGGGGGAGCAGGAGGAGCAGGAGGACGCCGCCGCGACGGGGCCCCTGGGCGCGCCGCCCTCCGAGCCGGTGCACGGCGGCGTGGCGACGCGCCTCGCCGCGGCTTTCCTCGGTCGCCTGGCCCGCCGCCGGTGCTGGGAGGCGCTGGTCGCCCTCCACGGCTTCCTGGCGCTGCCCGACGTTGGCGCCGCCTTGCACGTCCACGCGGCGGTTTCGTCGAAGTGAGTCGCGCGAACGCTTAGCGCCGTGTGGTCTCGTTTCCGCCGCGCTGCGCAGTTAAATTGGCGGCGTGAGCTGTGCACAAGTTGAATTCGTTTCTGTGTACGTGTGCAGCCCTTTGTCAATCCACAGAGTGGATCTTGGGGATTGTTTGACCGTACCTCACCACGCTGGTCAGTGCGCGTTGGCAAGGGGGCGGCCTCGGTCCGGTTCAGACGTCACTCGCTGCCGACCTTAGCCACGGCTGGGAATCAAACTCGTGTCGCCGGGTTCAGGGTACAGCGCGCTAACCACCGCAGCACTGCTCCCCAGGTTGCAGGTAGTCAATCACAGGACATGGCGAAGGTGGAGTTGCAAAGGACGGTGAAGTGGGGTAGGCCCAGGACGGGTTTAGATATCGTTCCCCACTGATGTGAACTCTGATCTGACATTTAACCTTTGTTGCTGGGTTCATGGCGCAGTTTGCTCGTCAATGAAGCATTGCCCCACGCAATCAAGATTTAATGTTAAAGTAATTAATGGAATATTGCATTTGACTTTATAATGTAGTTTCCCCTGTAGATATCTTATGAATAATGTCCCGGATCTCGGTCTGCTTGTACCCTAAGGTCAGCAGCTGGGACGCTGTTTGAGGTTTCCGACATCAAAGCACCAGCGTGCGGACTACGTGCGGCTCCCTTTATGGATCAAAGTGTGCACCCTTGAGCTGCCCAGAGAATCAATGACAGTCAACGATGAATTAAAGTCACGTTCACAGTACCAATGCTTCACCTAAGATTTACAATTGGAATGCATATTTACGTTCTCTGGACACAGGTTCTTTGTAAGGTGCTTTTGATTATGATAACAATTATGAAAACAGAAAGTTGACAGAATAAAAAATGCGACTTAAATGGAAGAATGGCACGTGCTTACAGGATATCATCCGGTGAAGGAATACAACACTGAACACTGAGCGGGAAAAACATGCTTAACCCCCAAGCCCGGATGTTCACGTTTACATTTCTGTGGCTTGCCCGACGACGCTGGTTGTAACTACTCGCGTGACGCGAGCTGTTGCGGGGGCTGTACCTTTACCTTTCTTCTTTTACTTTGGGTTAAATGTTACGGATCTATAAGTGTGCGCATAGTGAGAATCCATGAACCACGGTGGCAAGGTGTTAAATACCTCGCCTGGTATACAGGAGGTCGTGGGTTAGATCCCGACACCTGAGTTTGTATGTTCCTCCCATGGCCGCATGGATTTTTCTGCGGTTCCTCCGGTTTTTACCTCCACATTTACACACACGCGTTTAGACTATTTGGTTACCATACATTTCCACATGATAAGCCACTTCGTTGGCCTATCATTTGTGGCCAGGTGGCTTCTGAAAAATAGCTGTATAGCTCAGTGGGCCTTACCCGGTAAACAAAACAATATTTTAGTTTAAATAGTTTATAGTTTTGACTTATGATGCTCTCCTCCTCCCACGCGGCGTGCAGGCCCCTGAACCTGTTTGAGCAGGAGGAGGGGAGCGCATACGGAGAGCCGCTGGCGCTCGCTCGCCTGGCCGCCCCCTTGCTGGAGCAGGCCGTGGTCTCCTGGGCTGCCCACCCCGAGGGCCGCAGCCTGCTCGGCGCCTGGCTGCTCAGTGGAATCGCCTCCACCGGGAGTCTTCTACAGCACTGCCGCCAGTTCCACAGCCAGTGTGAGTGTCTCCGGGAGATTTTGTAACCCCCCCCCCCCCCGTTTGTGAAGGGAGTCGAACGGCGCCTTTTTAGTTTCATGGGGTTTTTTTTTTGCCACTCATCATCGCCGGCCATGATCAATCCACTCCTGGACGAAGGCCCCCCTCAAGCCGTCACCATGCCTCGCGATCCTGCGGCATAATAATCCAACTAGCGCCGGCACACGAGCGGATTTCAAAGCTCCATCTCCTGAGTGAACGTTATCCCGAACACGTTCCATCCTTTGGCTGTCGCTCCGTCGTTACTCTTGATCATCTCCCATCGTCCCTTCTAGCGAGCTTTGTAAGCCCAATGACTTTGCTTGACATTTTGAACAGTATAACCAACATGTTAATTAGCAGGAAGAGCATTTCTCTCGCGGTGAATGTTTTTCTTTTATTCAGTGTTATTTTGAACAGTGGTCCTGGCTTGGGAAGACGCAATACGCTTCAAATGATCCGATGAATTATCTCTCGAGTAATTTTGCTCACGTTCGGGAATGTGGATGCCCAAGGAAGACCCGTAACGTGTGACAGGCAAGCATACCCTGGACTGAAACGTTAAACCGTCGACTTTCCGGGCTCCGCAGACAAACGCCCCTTCAGCATCATGGTTCTATTATTGCATTTTTTGGCAAGAGCCTGCCTCTCGGTCATTCCGCACTAATATGACATGTGATCGTGATGTATGCCATCGGCCCATCGGCCAGAACACACATTTTACGAGTGCAGATTCTTTACAGTTAAGTGGACCTTTTCACAAGTAAACAACACTGTGAACTTATTACATTACATTAAACCCATGACGAATGTGATCGCTGGCCATATTATTCATCAGTAGGACATTTCCTTACTCTTGCCAATAACTCTCTCCCAGTTTGGTATAAATGTCTGACCCCTCAGCGGCTCATGAGAGCCAACAGAGAATAGAGATGGTATCAGCACATTGAATTGCTTCGTGCCATCATGGCCTCACGTATGAAGCGACTTTTGTCAATGTTCCACATCTTCCCTCGTTGATAAGTCAGCAGGAGTAGAGGCTAACACTTGGTCGCCAAGTCAGCTTGCTAGTCAGGGGATGATACTGTCTTCAGCCACCTAATTCATTTTGTGAGATTACCAAAGTGAGCCATCTGCACAACAAAGACCTAATTTTATGTATGTATGTTGAATTTCTTTCACACCGTACGTAGCCAACGGCGCTAATTGGAGGTGCGGGGAAGGACAACAAACTAAACACAACAACAACAACAAGTTCTAAAGAAACGAGTTTTCAATCTAGATTGAGTAACCTGCAAGATCAAGACGTCATCATGGCCACAGCTGTTGATACCACCACCACCACACCTTGCCAACCCCCTTCGCACTTCTGCGTTGCAAGAGTAGACCAGTGTGTGTGTGTAGATTTGGGTTCCCAAATTTTTAATTGCCTTCAAATCTCGCACAGCGGTGGACAGTGTGCGATGTTGTAGCCGCGTCTCTCGCCGCAACTCCTCGGCTTCCCTTGGTGGTTGGGCACGTTCAGGGGTGACTAATGCAATGTCATGTCCAGTTTTAAATGGTCATATTTCCCCCCCCCCACCCCATTATGTTAGTTTAAATGTACATAGTACGCACATTTTAATACACACATTTCAAAATAATCACCATAATTAAGATTAGAGAAAATTGCCTACCACATTGAACAACAATATTCATGAAAGGAAATGGCCACACATGGCAAGAACATCCTAAAACAAGTCTTGAGACAAATGTTCTATTACATACATGGGTAAATATAATTAGAATGAATGAATGTGCTTGTTAAAATAAGTGTGTATAGCTTTGAGAGAAATAATATTTGCAGTGTAGGGGTACGCTGTGCTTATTATTGTGGTTAGTGCACTGCGCTATGAACCCAACATAACAGTGGTCAACATTTGAACCAGTCCTGGGCCTCCCCTAGTTTGACTCAGCCTTTAAACCGAGTACCTGGTACGGCGTGTAAACAAAAGGCAGCCACCCATCTCCTCGTGTCCCTGCCTGCCTTCATCGGTGTTCGCTAACAGCACTTGTCCCGAAAGTCTGTTAAGGCTACGCGAGCAGCCTTTACCTTTGTTATTCTAAGCGAGTGGTCAGCAACTTGCGGCTCTTTAAGGACTACTTCTTGACGTTATTTATGAAGGGACCGTCTCATATTCACATGCATTGCGGCTCTTGTAATATGGAGGGTTTTATTTTTAACCGAGTTTGGATAAAATGTCTCTTCTTGTTACTTTGATTGCCGCCCCCTGTCGTAGGCGGTGGCCCGGCCGAGGTGTTCGCCGCGGTGCAACAGAACCGGCCCTACACGGCGCTCCACATCCTGCGTCTCGACCTGCTGCTGCTGGCCCGCGCCGGGGAGGCCCTCGAGGAGACCGGGCCGTGCCCCACGCTTCTCCCCGCGGAGCCGGAGGACCGCGAGCCGCCCTGGGACAGCGCCGCACGTGGTCCAGGCGTTTTGTCCGTGCGCGAGCTACGCCGGCAAGCGGAGTGGCTGAACCAGGAGCTGCTGGCTCCATTCTCGGCCCTCAGCAGCAGCAAGGCGACGTGACCGTGGCAGGTGAGTAACGCGTCGCACGCTAGCGGAAGTCCCATCGTACGTGTCGTGCATGCCGCTGGGGAACAGAGATCATCGCTGGTGATCGTGGGGCCGAAGACTAGATACTCGACCGCATTACCCGTCTGTGCAACTCCAGCTAGGCCACGTGTTGTGATTCACTACCTGAAACCTGGGGCGCAGTGCTGAAGTGGTGAGCACACTGTACCCTGGTGAGCACGCTGTACCCTGGTGAGCGTGTTGTACCGTGGTGAGCGCGCTGTACCCTGGTGAGCGTGTTGTACCCTGGTGAGCGCGCTGTACCCTGGTGAGCGCGCTGTACCCTGGTGAGCGTGTTGTACCGTGGTGAGCACGCTGTACCCTGGTGAGCGCGCTGTACCCTGGTGAGCGTGTTGTACCGTGGTGAGCGCGTTGTACCCTGGTGAGCGTGTTGTACCGTGGTGAGCACGCTGTACCCTGGTGAGCGTGTTATACCGTGGTGAGCGCGTTGTACCCTGGTGAGAACACTGTACCCTGGTGAGCACACTGTACCGTGGTGAGCACGCTGTACCGTGGTGAGCGTGTTGTACCATGGTGAGCACGCTGTACCCTGGTGAGCACGCTGTACCGTGGTGAGCACGCTGTACCCTGGTGAGCGTGTTGTACCGTGGTGAGCGCGCTGTACCGTGGTGAGCGCGCTGTACCGTGGTGAGCGTGTTGTACCGTGGTGAGCACGCTGTACCGTGGTGAGCGTGTTGTACCGTGGTGAGCACGCTGTACCGTGGTGAGCGTGTTGTACCGTGGTGAGCACGCTGTACCGTGGTGAGCGCGTTGTACCGTGGTGAGCGCGCTGTACCCTGGTGAGCGCGTTGTACCGTGGTGAGCACGCTGTACCGTGGTGAGCGCGTTGTACCGTGGTGAGCGCGCTGTACCCTGGTGAGCGTGCTGTACCGTGGTGAGCACGCTGTACCGTGGTGAGCACGCTGTACCGTGGTGAGCGCGCTGTACCCTGGTGAGCACGCTGTACCGTGGTGAGCGTGTTGTACCGTGGTGAGCGCGCTGTACCGTGGTGAGCGTGTTGTACCGTGGTGAGCACGCTGTACCGTGGTGAGCGTGTTGTACCGTGGTGAGCACGCTGTACCGTGGTGAGCGTGTTGTACCGTGGTGAGCGCGCTGTACCCTGGTGAGCGTGTTGTACCGTGGTGAGCACGCTGTACCGTGGTGAGCGTGTTGTACCGTGGTGAGCGCGCTGTACCGTGGTGAGCGTGTTGTACCGTGGTGAGCACGCTGTACCGTGGTGAGCGTGCTGTACCGTGGTGAGCGTGTTGTACCGTGGTGAGCACGCTGTACCGTGGTGAGCGCGTTGTACCGTGGTGAGCACACTGTACCGTGGTGAGTGTGCTGTACCGTGGTGAGCGCGTTGTACCGTGGTGAGCACGCTGTACCGTGGTGAGCGTGCTGTACCGTGGTGAGCGTGTTGTACCGTGGTGAGCACGCTGTACCGTGGTGAGCGCGCTGTACCGTGGTGAGCACGCTGTACCGTGGTGAGCGTGCTGTACCGTGGTGAGCGTGTTGTACCGTGGTGAGCACGCTGTACCGTGGTGAGCACACTGTACCGTGGTGAGCGTGTTGTACCGTGGTGAGCACGCTGTACCGTGGTGAGCGCGTTGTACCGTGGTGAGCACGCTGTACCGTGGTGAGCGCGCTGTACCCTGGTGAGCACGCTGTACCGTGGTGAGCGTGTTGTACCGTGGTGAGCATGCTGTACCGTGGTGAGCGCGCTGTACCCTGGTGAGCGTGTTGTACCGTGGTGAGCGCGTTGTACCGTGGTGAGCCCGGCGACGTGAGTTTGATTCTCCGCCACGGCCAACATCGGCGGCGAGCGACGTCCGAACCGCTCGTAGGCTGCCCCCCTCGCTGACGCGCTGACCAGCGTGGTGACGTATGGTCAAACAAATCTCCACGATTGACGTGGTAAAGGGTGGCCTTCATGCAGTGATGGATTGGCATGGACTTCTTCCCACACTCAAAGCTGCAAGTGTTTTAAAAACAATAATGAATAAATCTACGTCTTTATTTATAACCGCGTGCGGTGACAAAACCGATCGCTTGCTACATGAGGCCAGGGAAGATTTGATGGCAGCGTGGGTGAGAGTTGCCCTGGCGATGTGTAATTTTGTCGGAAGCAGTAAGGGAACTCATCGTGTAATTTCGGCCTGGAGTCACAAACAACGCACAAAGTTGGGTGATTGATTTTTGTCGTGAAACAAAATGGCAGCGATCAAGTGAAAAACAAGAAATTGTACAAATCATTTGTACGGCCTCAGAAATATTATCATTTTAGTGACGAATCGTCGGTCCGAGAAAATCTACCCAGCGGTAGCAAATAAAGGACTGAAACACAAAGTTACGTACCTTGCAATGATAACACACGATATACTGAGGAGTAAAAGATTTTTTTTTGTTCCAGCACACATGGTGGTGCTAATTGTGTCTCTCCTTTATGAAACGCGGTGTTCTGCAGATCACGTTAGCACAACCCGTATCGCTGTGCAAGGAGCGCCAGAGTGATGCCGTGACCCACGTTCAAACGTCACCCCTCGTACCCCTTTAAAGCGGCGAGCTGCCCTAGTGTGTGATGGTTGGCACACCGCACTCCCCAGAGGGCGCCGGTTCGATTCCATCTCCTGGCACGGCAGTTACAATATTTGCGCAAGTTTCATAAAACGCACCGCCGCCTCTATCCACCCATCGGCACACAGTTAGTTGATCGGTAAGTCGTGTGCGGTGGGGTACAGGCTTGGGCACGCTTACCTCTTCCAAACACGTCTGGCCAGCGTGGACGAGTAGACCAAACAGCCTCCAGAGCACCCGTTAGCGGAGGCCCTTCTGACAGCAGTGGGGTGAGCGAGCTATTGCAGGATTGCGCTTTTACCCGTTTGCAAGGAGGAGCAATGGCACAGTGGTTAGCGCGCTGGACTATGACACCGGTGACCGGGGCTGGAATCGGAGGTTGAATCGTTCTGTTTGAGCATCTTTTGTGGATTACTAGGCAGCTACCTGATTTAATTTTGGTATTAATACTTTTCAAACATCAGAGATTAACTGGGGTGAAGAATGTTTTAAACCTGGGCCTATACTAGGAAGGCTTATAATGTTGTATATTTCGGCCATTTATTTTATATTTAAGCCATTTAATGAAGCATGTCTTATCGACTTGGACATCGTGTAATATGTTCCCTGAATAAAGTGGTCCCAATTTAGCCATACGTGTTAATTTGTTTATTATTAACACATTCACTCTCTGACATCTTCTCCCTTTGCTTATTTGTAGGTGCACAGTATGTACAATTTGTTTAAAGGTATGTCTGTTATTATTGTTTGTGTTCGCAGGTTTGCAGATGAATGAGCAGTTGCGATCACAACTGTTGGCTGATTACGTTCTGCTGCCCCTGTTGCCAAGGGGTGATCTCTCGCTGTTTGACGTCCTTGTCGGCGCAGTTTTAAATTCATGCCGGTATCCTGAACGATGCACTACTCAGACTAACGTACCACTTCACCGGTATGTCTGTGTGTCTATGTTTTATTAAAATATATATATATAACGTTGCCATTTTCACCCAGTTTTATTCCTGCAGTGTTGTCATGGGGACTTAAGCCTCCACATAAGTGGATCTCACAGAGCAAGTGACCTGTGGTCCACACAGCAAAGGGAACTCGTTGACACACGCTCTGCTGCATATGACAGTAATGTTGGTGACATGGCATTCAAAGCGATATTGTAATTTAGCCACCACAGAACCAAATTTTAATGCAAAGGGTTTTTGTTTTGTGCAGTCGTTAGTGAGCGGTTGACCATTAACTCTCGTAGCTTGAGAACCCAGTTGGAGCACAGGCCACTTGCTGGGTTTGAGCCCAGGAACTCAGTAGTGGCGGTGCAATGCTCCGAACTCTGCGCTATATTATAAAACAAACTAATAATTCGTCTTCCTCAAGGTTAAAGTCTTGTTTCATAAACATGTTCATCTCTGTAACCCGTCGACTCAGCAGCAGAAATTGTTTTAGTCGCAGATTGGTTACGAGCTTCAGACACACCCTGTCGCATTGGGTGCATGTGCATAGGGAAATATATAGCATGTTATATCAGTGATTTTTTTACTCATTGCTTAATTAAAATGTTGTCTGTGTTTATCCAATCCAGATAAACTTGTTTTGATGTAAATGCTGAGGCGAAACAACAGTTTTTAAAGTATTATATTATGAACTTCAAATTGACTTTCCTCAACCTTAAACGTAAATAACCTAGTTTCTCTCCGTTAAAATCAATAATCAATATCTGACTAAATGTAATTGAAATACACAGTGTTTCCATGCTCACCTTTGCTGTTCCCTGGGTCTGTAGCCTTGTCTTTGTATAGCACAAGGCGGTATGCATTATAACAACCCGGCGGAGTGATGGGTGAATGACGTTTGAGATTTGAACCATTGAGTGTGGCCACTGGCACACAAACACACTCTCAATAATTACCAAACGTCCCACTGTGATATGTAGAGATTGTTTTAAAGTAACCCTCATAATGCTACCTCTGCAATTATTCAAAAGGTGTCCGGATATTTCTGTTCAATCATATTACCGTCACCACTGGAGTGAGTTTCTATTCTTATATGTGTTTAAGTTAGTTTTTATATATGTATATACTACGATTGAAGCATGTATGCATAACCGAAGGGACTCTTTGTAATAAGTGTTTTAAATTTTGAACATTGCATTTTTAAATGGTTTAATGTGTATTTTAAAGTTTAACATTAAACATTCATCACCATTTCTGCAAACAGCATGATACGTGTTTTAATTGTACATTTTTACAAACGAGTCACTAAAACACGAAGGGCCCAACTGTTTTGTCGTCACTTCCGCTTACAGAACCCATCTACACGAGAATCGGTTTGACTCGTGACAAATCGATATCCTGAGATAAAAAAAAAACACATTTGTCCTTTAAAGGGTGAGCATTGTCCAATCCAAAAATAATAAATAACAATAATAGCTCTTGGGACGAATTCCCGCCAGAGTGAAAGCACAAATATATACCCATCATTAGGGCAATGACCGTCACTGATAAAGCAACAAGCGACGGGCTTTGCTCGTGTCCTGAGGGAAGATTGATCGAGGGTGTTCACCAAATCAATTACAAGGTCGTCTGTCTGTCACCTCCTTGTGGTGAGAGACCGCCGCGCCTGTAGTAGATGATTAAGTACCGAGTCACGTGTGAACCCTTGCAGCGCGGTGAGTCCCGCGATTGTTGATGCGGTCAAGACGTACAACAAACAGCGACCGCCATTCGCCACTGCGTGGCGGTGACGTGGCCACGTCGCTGGTGCCAGGCTAGGTGCACCTCGAGGTCACGTCAAGTGTCGAAGGCTCGTCGCACGCAAACGCATCAAACGCAGAGACGACTCCCACTTGGAGGCACATCACAAGCAGACGCGACGACTCGGGGTTATGCCTCATAAATGAAACTGAAGCAGCTGACGCACACGGGGACAGGGGCCCTCCGTGTCATCACGGCTCTGCAGGACACAGTCACAGTGTGTACCGACTGGCGCTCTCTCTGTCTCCGGCGCCGAGCGACACGTCTCACGGGACGGCGTCCCACGGCTTGCCAGCTCAGTGATGAATGTTCACGTCCCCGAGATTCATTAGCCGATGTGAAGTTGCGAGATGGATGAAGATCGATTGGTTAATTGGCATGAGTCACTCGGCTTCTTGCTTCGCCGGGCGCGGTCGCTCGACTGGGAAGATGAAACAAAAACATCTCGCCGGAGAGGGACACGCAGGGTAACAGCAGCCGGCTCCGACTGTTGATCGGCACCGTGCACAGGCGCGCATCGTGCTGAGCGAATCGAAACATCGCAGAAGTGAGCCGAGATAATTGGCGACGTGGACTCGGCGAGGGGGAGAAAACGAGCGGAGAGATTCGTCCGTGTCGCAGGGTACCGAGGCGACTCGCCGCGGGGGGGCCGGGGGAGGCTTGGTCTGCCCGGGAGTTCGAGGATTGAAGAGTAATTCGGGGAGAGTTGGCAGCCACTCTCGTTTGCAATTTCTGGCAACACGTTCCGTGCAGAGCTTCGTCATGTTGAGGCGTGTATAGTCGCCTGCTGCTGCTGCCGCTCCTGATCGATCAGGACTGTAATTGGGAGCCCACCATACCCATCATCAACAAGGCATGTGCCCATCGACTTTCTGTGGTGTTTCTGATTGATGGAGACGTGGTGTCCGACTGCCACATTTATGTATTCACGCTGTGATTCATTATTGAGCAGAAGGATCTAATTGCCTCGGGCTTAGTAACAAAGCCACGGGAACAGCAAACACACGGCGCGTATATGTCATGCACGTTTAGAATGCCACCGTGGTTCGTCGTCGTTTTCAAATGAGAGCGCGTGTAGCATCTCGACTGGCGCTTTGAGGTGTTCTCAACGGCAATAATTGCGTGCAACGAGAACTCCGTGGCGCAGTGGTTTACCCCAACACGCTACGAAGCGGCGCCTGGGTTCGATTCCCCGCCGTGGAGAACATCGAGCGGTGGTGTCCGAGGCTGCCTCTTCCCTTGGCACGAAAGCAAGAGGCGAGTCCCCGCTGTGGATGCGTGCAGCGGCGTCTTGAGACGCAGCGCCACCCATCAATGTGCACGAGCAATCGTGAACATAATACACGTGGTTTGTAAATGTACACGTACATTTACATGATCTATGTACATTTACGCGATCTAACCCAAAAAACGTGTATTATAGATGATATTGGTCGCAAAAGCCTCCGTGTTAAACTCATCGTGGACATCCGCACTGGGGAGACAAAGGCGGTCGGTCGCGCGTGGTAGCGGCCTCAGCCCCGCGCCCGACCTTAATAGAGGTTCGCTAACAGCACCCTGGCCCCGACAGTGACATCTGCGCGTGTGTGTGTGTGGGGTGTGTGACGAGAGCTGTAACGCGTGGCTCTGACGCGCGAATGCAGCACGAGGAGGCTGGGGCTCGGGGCACCGAGCGAGTGTGGGAACAGCGGCGGCAGCGGCGGCGCTGCACAATGCATGATTTGCTGCCGGTCCCTAACGGCGTTGCGTATTGCGGTAAGCACACGGTGGGCTTACAAATGCTTAATTGCGCGATGAACACAATGCGGCACTGGCTGTTGCTGCTGCTGCTGGCGAAGGCGCCGAATGTAGCGGCGCGCCCGTGTTTACCCCCCAAGGGGGTGCAGCCGCGGGGTGAAGACGCAGTGCGTCGAACGCACGCGGCCACCCCCGGCTCGATCCTCGCCGCTGGCATCGCTCAAGGGCGACGGTAAAGGTGCAGCCCCGCAAGTGCGAGCTCGTGCCGCTGCTGGCGGAAGGCCCGAGGCGGGAGGGTGCTCTAGAGAGCCACTTCTCTCCGGCCTGTGAACTATTACAAGCGGATGACGTGGGAGCAACCCAGCACTTGAGCCCATCACACGCGAACCGCCAATCGACTCGCTGTGCCGCGCCCGTGCGCACTGCTAAGAGGTGCGCAGTAACGGGTGTAAGAAACGCGTGGCCCCATTGCTCCAGCTGCCTCGTCAGCAGATCGAGCCGGCGATCTGTGTCTGACTTGCAAGTCCAACGCGGCAGCAGCAGCTGCAGCAGCCCTGCTGCCCATTGCAAGGCGCAAACATCGCAGAGCGCGAATTGGGTGAGGAGGGCGGCCTTGGGGATTGTGCCAAAGGCGCCTCCTTGTTGACACACGGGCAGGCAGAGTGCGGCATCCCTGCAGCGTGTGGGTGGGAATGTGGGGTTAATGTAATGTCTGCGAAAGGAATGTTGCCCGCAGTGCATTAATGTATTGGAGGCTATAAATAGCCTGTCAGGAGCACTGACGCAGTTCCCAACTTTCACGGTCAGACAGAAAATGAAAACGGAGCTGTCCTCCGATTTGAATCTTGGCAGAGCCACTGCCAATTCCTTTACATTATCTGAATTGCGCGCGCACACATCACAGATCGCCAATCGAATTATGGGGGTCGACCAAGTCATACAAGCGAGCATTCGCAGTACTGTAGGTGTATGTATGTTGTATGTATGTTGTATGTATGTTGGATTTCTTGCGCGCAGTACGTAGCCAAACGTACTCGTCGGAGGTGCGAAATCGTGTAGCGCGAGCAGGTGCGTTCACTCCTTTGTGCGTGCGCACATCTCCGCGCGTAAACAATTGAATATTTCTTGGGCGTGTGGTGTGGAGTCGTACCCCGGGGGGGGGGGGGGCACGGGGGTTTCCCCCAGTGGTTGAGAAAATGTGTTCGTGGGTCATAAAAAATGGTTTGCGGTAACCAATATTCATAGTCACAACACCGCAACGGCACGCGCTCAATGAAAATCTGCGGAAACGAATTCGCAAAAGAAACACAAACAGAATGACGTCAGCATTGACCAACACGTACTTGCGGCAGAAACATGCAAACACACATGCTCTGATGATAATATTTACATTGCCTTGCACAAGGTATCTGTTTGGTGTTTGAACATTTTAACACAACTGTTTTATTGCCAGAATGGGTAAAAACCTATGCTTATTTTTCATCATTTTGGGTTGCTGGCAAAAATATATTCTCATAGATAGAATGACGTCACACGAGCGAGTCGCTGCGACGAGGGGGGGGGGTATACCAACGCCCTTGCACGGATGAATCATCAAAATAATAATGATGATGAATAATAATGGTTAATGATGATTAATAATATAATAATAATGGATGAATACCAACGCCCTTGTCCAGCTCTGGGGGTGGTGAGGCGAGCGTGCAGACCCGGTCCAATTCGACTGCTGGTGGGTTGGACATCATTGAGTCAGCCGGCTTATAAAGCGTTCGCTGCATCCTCGGAATAACTAAACGCGTGGCCGTGGTGAGAAACGCGGGTCCAGACAAACCCGCGGCCTGCCTCGCCACGAGACACATTGTACACCTTCGCCCCCGTCCTATGTAAGTGAGCAGACACGTTGTCTGTCTGTCTGTTGCTATAGCCTGTGTCGGTGTTGCTGTCTCTTTTAAAGGAATTTGTCACCGGGGTCGCCGGGGTGATGGACAGCTGACGGGTAAAAGCGCCGTGCGCGTACGGGACACGAGTGATTGTGGAACAACCGCTCGCTCTCCCTCTCTGTATTTCTCCCTCCACAAGCGCGGTATATCCGCAACGTGGATAATCTGCAGACGAATAATTGAGAGTGACCTGCACACACGGGAGGAGAGAGAACTGATGGGGATGCGATTCTCTTCAAGCACGCGGAGTCACTGGAGCTGTGAGGGCGCCCATCCCACGAGCAGATGGCCCGGCTCGAGTGCTGCAAGCGCCGCGTCTGTCCGCTTGCGACGGCACTCCGGGTGCCGTGCAAGCGATGTCGCTTCATTACCGTTCGTTTCCCGGTCACAGCCGCGAGCCTACCTTCAATCAACAGCACTGACGATAGTGTGACGACACATCGACAACATTGACAACAATATCACTTATCCCGCACCTGCGATGAGCACGGTTAGCTACGTACGGTGCGAAAGAAGTGCAACATCCATATAGTGCATACATCATCACCAACAACGAGTTGACACATCAACAGCAATGGCACCGTTTGAGAGATCCAGAGCGTCACGATGGGAATGTAGATCTAGATACGGTGCGACTCCCATACATAAGAACAACATAACACATTCACTAACACTCTTGGCTTTTTCGATCAAGTTACGTCAATACAAAATTCGTGACTTGACCGACAGACCCAAGAGTATGAGTTCCTGCAGTCACGAAAGCTTTAAATCAACGTTCACTGATGATAACCCTCTCGCGCTCCGTTTCTCTTGCTCACAATGGCCTTCATTTTAAAATAATAATAATAGAAGGCGTAATTAGATTGGTCTCGTTGCCATACACATTTAATAGGAGGTTGTGTTATGGTTATTATGGGGAGGGGAATCAATGTGCACACCCTGCGGGTATCATTCCTCTGTGTTTTTTGCTCAAATCGGCGCTGTTCGCTTGAAACGGTTTTTGTTATTGTTGCAAAAATCGATCGGATGGGTCGGAATGATATCGCTTAAGACCTCCGCCTAGGCGAGGTCCCATTTACACGTCCATGTGTTTTGTTATGGAATGCGTGAATTTAGGACGCAGTGAATGTGGAGAAATGTTTTAACTTATATACTTTACGGCTCCTTTGTCAATCATCCACTGCTGAATGAAGGCCCTCTCAAAAGCTGCGTTTTGCTCAGTGCGGATTGGTGAAAAGTTCCGAGGTGGTGTGGCAGGAGCGCTTCAGATATCCAACGCCACTCACAACAGCGGCCGCAGCCGGCGTTAGACACTGGGACTCCTCGCTAGCGCAGCGCGATCACCACTGGCGTCAGTGCCGCATTGTGTGAGTCAAGCAATGTCCCCCTGCCTCTCAGCGGGAACCCACTGGCAGTCGTGACGATTTCGATTTAAAGCTTTCGTGACTGCAGGGATTCATCTTCTTGGTTCTTTCGGTAAAGTCACGTAGAAGGGACAGACCTGATCTTCACCTGAGAACGGCTGCTTGCGGTGTGGCCGAAACGTCGTGAGAATTACAGTATTTTATTATGTTTTATTTTTATTATTTTATTATTTCCCTTCTACGTGACTTTACCGAAAGAACCAAGAAGAGTCGTGACGATGTCGCGTTTGGATGCAGTCAACCACCGACTGCGGCGTCTGTCTGTGGTTTGGGTGTCGCTGCGATGGTGTCCCTGGCGAATGTGGTGGGCCCCTCTCACCGCGACACGGACGACGCGCGTGGCGTTCGGAGAGGCGTGGGGCGCGCAGTGCGGCCACGTGCCCGCTAGGTGGAGACGGCGCGTAGGCAACATCCCCGCAGGGGCAGAAGATCCGCTGACAGTGCAAGCGTCGACCGAGTCTCACGCATGACAGCCTCTTGAATTAATTACCAAAGATTCATCCCAGCTAAGGCTTTTGTTTGCTGGCGTTACGTCATCTCACAGGAATATCTCCCCTGTCTCTGTGTGTGTGTGACCGCGCTAGCCCAGTTGCCGTCGCTCCGCCCCATACAATCAGCCAGACACGCGCACACACACACACACAAACATACACGCACAAGTACCCAGCAGTAAACACACGCGCGCACACCACGGACACACCACGGACACACACGGACGGCGTGCGGTGGCGTTGCGCGCCCCCCTGTCAGCGCGCATGCTCCGCGGGGTTACCCGCGTCTCCTCCTCGACTCGGCAGCGCCCGGGCGCTTCTGCAGCTGGGATCGCACCGCGCTGATTAGGATGACCGCTGGGCACTGGCATCACCACCCCCTGCACACCACCAGTGCCGCCGCCGCCGCATTGCTGCTGCTGCCCTCCCCGGGAACAACCACCACCACCATCATCATCATCGCCGCCGCCGCCTTTGAGCCGAGGCTGCTGCTGCTGTTGCTGCTGCTGTTGCTGCTGCTGGGACGGGCGCGGGGGCTGCGCACTGCGGTGGAGGAGGCGGCGGCACCTCCACCATGCCCGGAGGCACGCGGGGACTCGTGGCTCCGCAAAACACCTTCCTGGAGAACATCGTTCGCAGAGCTAATGGTACCGGACGACTGTCATTGTCTACTCTAATAGTACTAGCAGACTTGTCATTGTCTACCCTAATAGTACCAGACTATTGTCATTGTATTCTCAGGGTAGCCCCCCCCACCCCTCGTCTCTACCCCTACCGACTCAACCGGTCCAACCACCGCCACGAAATGCAAATTGTTAATTATATAATCCACATTTTATTTATTTGCTTTGATCCATAGCCTTGCATAGACTTTGAGCGGGCGGTGCGCGTCATCTCGTTTGAAGGCAAATGTTATAGGGGTGTGATCGGTGACCGGGTTGGAGTCCTGTAATCAGTCTGGCTTCACCAACCCGTACTCAGCGGCGTGGTGAAGTATGGTCAAATAACCCCCCCCCCCCCATGACACCCAACTCGGCGGTGGCGATGCCCTCGTCCAGCAGTGGAGAGCCACGGGGCTGTGAACGACGCACGCATCGCTCACTGCGCCGCTCACTGCGGTGTCTCTGCTGCTGCTGCTGCCGCTGCTGCTGCTGTGTGTGTGATGTCAGGGGTAGGGGTGGTGGTGGGGGGCTCCGTGCGTTGAGCTTAGCTCGGCACGAGAACAATCACAGCTCCTGCGTGTGAGGCGTCCCCCGAAACGTCCAAATGCGTCTGCGCGCGGTGCACGTGACGCGTGCGTGCGGGTGATCGGAGTTCGCGTGAATGGTATACCTTCGGTAGTTAAGTACCCGATACACGCGCGCGCCCACCGACAACAATCCGCCCAGTATACGCTCTCGGCGCGTTAGTCGGTACACAAATACTCCGACGTTGGACCATACAGGGGGTGAAAGAGGCAATCCCGGCGAGCCTGGTGACGGCAACGCCACTCGCCCCGCGGCGCTGCGGCCGACCGTGTCGATGATGACTCGTGAAGCGACGCGCGCGCAAGGCGAGGAGGCCTCGAGCGCGGAGGAGCGACGTCTGCGGGTGGACGCCAACACAGCAGGGGCACGGCTGCCCGTGCAAGCAGAAGCACGTGGGTGTACAGCCCTGCGCTCATACAGTCGTCACGTCTTTCGTAGGGTGTTGTTCGCGGTCCCCGAGTTTGGACGGAGTGCTCGCGCCACGATTATTACTTCTGATGAACCAGCGGCATTCGTTGATTTGACCCAGGAGGCCGAAACCGGTCCTGAGTTTTCTCGCTCAAACAGGCGCTGTGTGGGATTGTATTGGTCCAGAAAGCCAATACTAAATTTCGATTTAAAGCTTTCGTGACTGCAGGGATTCATCTTCTTGGTTCTTACGTGACTTCACCGAAAGAACCAAGAAGATAAAAGCCAATACTGTCGTCTGATGGACTTAGGACAATATTTTTGTCTTCATATGTGCAGACACTGAGCAGAATGCTGCTTATTTTTGCTACCAATATCTAGTTGGTCTTCGTACGTCCCCTTGTTACATGGAGTGCATTCATGTTACTGAATGATGTAAGCAGGGCTTAATTCTCCACTGAATGTTTCCCTGGTGGCTGGTCGATCTGGACTCGGGCGTGTGACTGGTAGCCCACATTCTCAGCGGGAGCGATCCTGCTGCTGTTGCAGCAAGTGAAGCACCGAGTGAGCAGACCTTGTCCAGGTCACCCACCTCGACAGACCCGGCTGAAATGAATCTCTGGCTGCGCGTGTTGGGCTGCGCGGTGTCGTGAAGACCTGTTTGAGTGTGGACGTGCCGCCAAGGGGAATGGCGCATGCAGTGGGGATCAGCATCTGCTTGGCGTTGTTGTGACGCTGGCTTGGCAGTGGTGCGTCAGCACGCAGCACAACAGCCTGACGCGTTCATCAAACTGATGATGCCTGCTGTGAGCAAAGCCCGTTTCTGGAAACATCACCTGTTTTATATCGACATATATATATACTGCATGCATGTTGTTGTTATTGTTGTTGTTGTTGCTGTTGTTATTGTTGTTGTTGTTGTCAGGGGTCGGCAACCTGCGGCTCCGGAGCCGCATGCGGCTCGTGAAGGAGCGCTTCGTGACGTCATTTATTACGGCTCACATGCATTGCGGATCTTGACATATTGAGGGTTTTTTTTACCGACGTAAAACAAAGATGCGTCTTGTTATTTCGTTTGCCGACCCTTTGGCTCGGGGCAGTGACGACGCGAACTCTCTCACAGCCTCACGGAGCACGCCACGCGTCACACAGCCCCGTTGTGATCATCGCTGGCGCCACCACGTGAAGTCGCGTCTCTCTCATCGCGCGGACGACCGTGGCGTGCGTTGGTGCTGTGGTGGCAAAGATGGGAGAGAGCGACCCGTTACGTGCGCGCGCGCACCTCAAGGTGTCGGCTGCTGTTGAGAAACCCCACTGGGACTTGCTCCTTCTTGCGTGGCTACTCAGGTTGTTGTGGGGTGCTTACAGCCTGGGGTGGGCTGCTGCCCAAAGGCCAACAGAGAATTGTGAGGCACTATTTGGGCTATTGGCATGAACCCTTCCTCTGTGAGAAGTCTCCACCCTAAGTAATGACAAATATAAGCATCATCTCCCTTGTGTATCTACACATATAAATAACGTGGTTTTTTTTATTCCGTCAGCATATTTGCATCCCAGACCAATACAGTATTGCCCAGCAAGCGTGTGTTTAGCCAAACAAAAATCCGGACCGGTTTTGACCGTCGAGGTCTCATCAGCAGAAGCAGGCTTGTCAAACGAATGCTGCTGCATAATTATCACAAATTAGTGGCAAGAGCACTCCCTCTCAAAAAAAACGCAGCGTGGTGTGCAAACTCACAATGCGTTGTTGCTGAGCGTTATGGGTCACAGCGGGTTGTGTCATCACAGCCTCAAAGCACCATCGCCATGAACTTACACTCCAAAACACCCACACCACACCGTTATCAACACGGTACCCCGTGCCCGTACACTAAACGGACTATTAAGAGGCATTCGTTAAATGGTAGTAGTCGTCACGTGATCACGTGTACAATGTCAACACGTGATTAACACTGCACCAGTACTTTGTCGGTCAGCGATGCTCCGTGTGGCTGTTGGATGACCCGACTTTTCAATTCCGCTGCGAGGCTCGGGATGCGCTCGGCGGGGTCACTGGGGTCACGAGGAGCCGTGGACGCGCACTGCACGCGACCTCTTGGCCTCTCTAGCCGCTGTAATGAAAACTCTGGAATAGCGTCGGCATGGAGCGGTAGCGGTAGCAGCGTTCCTCCTCCTGTGCTACTCTCGATTCCCAATTGCCCCGTTGCTCTGCCGTACACGCGAGGATATCTTTTTATCTTTTGTCATTTTTTGTGACCCCCCCCACTCCCCGGTCACTCGTGTAAATGAGACTCTGTCCTGGTCTCTTGAATTCGCACCTGGTTACACAAAATATACTTGACATTTGAAACGTGTGAAAATTACATATCCACAATATTAGCAGAAACACGGGTTTGGGATGATTTAGCACGCAATAGAACGCCACGATTGTTAATGACGGCTTGCTTAAAAAACATTTATTACGTTATTATACTCAATAAAGTTAATTACTTTCATTGTAAATCCTCATTGAGTCTTTAAGGCCCTTTTTCAGGTGGCTCCTCTATTGAGACGTTTGGCCAATCCGATGAATGGGTGGTAGGGAAACAGAGCCCTGGAGAGAACCCGCGCATCGTGGGGAGGGTAGATCAACACTCAACACTCCAAACGGATAGATTCAATCGACGAGCCAAAACTCTATCCAGTTATTGAACCAAATCTGTCTGTGGACTGCCCTCACTGCTGTACTGGCACCTCCTGGCAGGAAGAAACTTGTTCTGCTCGCAATTTGAATGAACTGTCATGTTTCGGGCTCACAATTTAATTCAATATTTTTTGTTACATTGTGGTGAACACGTCTCAAATCGTAGCTGCAGGGGCCATGTGAACGCCTGATCGCATACAGCATAACCAGCGGATCATTCACAGGTAATCCGCCCCTAGATTAAGACCTAGCCATGCCGTCTCGTGTTAGACCAGACTTCAGGCTGGCTGGCCCCACTGAGATCATGGCTTCCAGCCATCTGCGATCAAACCGGCTTCTCGCGTCGATGATCTCGGCCCGGTCACCACTGACTGCGCAAATTATCAATCAGAATACAATTTGGTTCCGTCCTGAATGTGTTTAAGTGGCAGCCGTGACGGTTATTAATATTGGTTTGACCGTCACGCAACAAACATGGCTCTCAATTGCCAGGGTGGGTGGGAGAGGGCTGCTCCCGACTGGGTGAGCTCAAGGTCACCCAAGTAGCTTCCGTGATAATTCGCTTCAGTGGGCCGCTGTCCAACGTGTCAAAGTTGCACTGCTTGTGAGAGAGATTCGAATGAATATTTCTTCGCGTGCCATGACACTGATAGCACAATCAGGGAAACTCCCAGCCAGGCCATCTTATTGGTCTGTCAGGCCATCAACGGTGGATACGTTCCCCAAATTGGCACGTCAGCCCTTGTGTGTGATGGAAAGAAGATAATGTTGAAATGCATTTGTGTTTGGTCAGGAGAGGACAAATTAGCCTTGCCAATTTCTCTTTTTTGAACAGCATCTTGAGATGCGTTTGCATTTAAAGGCTCTATGACACCAAATCGGCAAACCGTGATTTGCTGCTCCAATGAGCGCCGAGGAAAGTGCCCGTCTCCAGCTCACAGTCCTGAGTCACGACGCCAATATTCGAACCCTGAACCCTTCCACCACGACCCACTCGCGCCGCCTTTGAGAGCCACAATGACAATTTCTAAATAGGGTCGCAATTTTCTCATAGATTGAAAACACATTTTCGAGATTTTTAAACAAATTTATTTAGAGCTGCTTTTTGTGTTTGCGAGATCTGATGAGATCGGGGGTATTCCTGGTGACTTGGGTCATATGTGATTGGACGATGAATCTCGCATATTAGGAGGCTGTGTGTGAGGCGTATATATGTACGTTGCACTTACATGCTTTGTTGTTTATTTGTAGCGACTTGCTTACCTTTCCGATACTTTTCACCTCTGTCGGGTTTTGCATCGTTGTTGCAACTTTTTGAGCCGCCCTTGCTGGACATCTGTGAACAAAGCGCTTCGGACCTCACCGGATTCCTCCTCCTGCTGCTGCTGCTGCTGCAGTCTAAACACAGATTCCGGCTTTCCGGCTTTCCGAAATGGAGGGTTGGACTGTGAGAGTGGCCACTCTGGGCAGGAGAAATGAGAAACGATGCCCTGCCTTCATCTCAACGTGACCATCGGAGCGATGTTCCCGTCTCGGCATTGCGCCACGTCGGTCCTGGCTGCCACGAGGCCACCACGGGGAGCGCTCGATGCGAGCGTGAAGCGTCAGAATTTACCGAAAGCAAATTCCACGTCGCGTCGAGTCAGCTGAGCGTGCCCCCGAACTCGCCATTCAACGTTTCGGAGCTTCTCTCGTCGCGAAACTCTACGCCTGAGTTCGACTCGTACTTCTTGCTCGGGCGGAATGACTTTTCACACAGGGCGGAGAGTTTTCAGGCTGGCGAGTGCCGCATATTAGGCTCATTGTTAATTGTGCTTGTACACCACGGCCAATGTAGCAGCACTAATTAATGCATATGTGTGTGTATATAGATAAGGTCGAATCAGCCCCAAATGAGTACCTGGTGGGGTGTATAAACATTGCAACTGGGGAGACAAAGGCGGCCGGGCGTGGTGCTGGCCACCCACCCCCTCGTGCGCCGTGCCGGCCTTCATAGGTGCTTGCTCACACCACTTGCCCCAAAAATCTGTTAAGGCTACACGGGAGGGTTGTTGTCTGTATATATAAGATACCCAGCTGAATATGTAGAAGTTCTAAAGAAAGTGGTGTTATCTAGAAATCACTTGTGTCACACGACAGTCAGAACACGTGCTTCGCAGAAATCACAGATTCTCTTTTTCTCTTTCCCCTTCCCTGCACACGCACACACGCACACACACACGCACACACACGCACGCACACGCACGCACACACACGCACGCACGGACACACGCACACACGCACGCATACACGCATACGCACGCACACACACGCACGCACATGCACGCACGCACACACACGCACGCACACACGCACGCACACACACACACGCACACACGCACACACGCACGCACGCACACACGCACACGCACACACACACGCACGCACACACGCACACACACACGAACATCACCACGTACATTCACTCGCCTGCACACCATACGCGCGCGTGCACACGAACGCTCAAACACCCCCCGCGCGCGCGCATCCGCAAACTCTCCACCCCGCCCGCCCCCAACACGCCGGCGCTTTGCAATCCACTCCGCAATCCACTCCGCAGATACAAATTTCTTGCTGGGCAATGCGCAGATATTGGACTGGCCCATCGTCTACAGCAACGACGGATTCTGCAAACTCTCGGGGTACCACCGCGCCGAGGTCATGCAGAAGAGCAGCACGTGTAGGTACGCCCGCAGTTACCTCCACGCGTCTGCTGCTGCTCACCTGCGCGTACCTCGCCTGTGCGTACCTTGAACTGCTCACCTGCGCGTACCTCAGAGCAAGGCGCGCACAAGCTCGACTCGGGTCCCAGGGGGATTTAGAAGATGCCCACGTTGCAAGGGGAGGGCCAGGGGAGGGTGAGGGGCTGGTCATTAAATGTCGCGCGTTTTAAATTCGCGTGGCCAGGTGTTACCTACCGGGCGTGTGGGTTCGATCCCGACCCTGACGCCTACCTGTTCTCCCCGTGGTCACGTGGGTTTTTCTCCGGGTCCTCCGGGTTTTTCCCTACACATTTAGAATCGTGTGGTTGTAGTATTTGGCCGCTATGCATTTCCACGTGATAATGAGCCACTTCGTTGAGCTATCATTTGTGGCCAGCTCGCTTCTGAAAAGAGAGCTGTATAGCTCAGTGAGCCTTACCCGGTAAAAAAAATAGTTCAGTTAAATAAAAAGTATCAACTTGGTGTTGACTGATTCAGACGACGTTGCCCGATGTATCCGACGGTGAATTACCGCAAGGTCGTGCTGAACGCATTTGACGTCTCTCGTAACGTGACAAGATTGTGGGACGGATAGTGAACCACCTCGAGCGAGGAGCACGGGGGGAGACGCCGGCGCTGCCCCCCCCCCCCCCCCCCCCCACAGATTGTCAGCCCCGAATCAGCAGAAGCCCGGCGCGCCGTCTCACCACCGTGTCCGTGACCAGCGAGTGACCCACGCAGGCAGACACGGCCAGCGCGTGTCCCACCCCCACTCCCACCCCGCGGGGCCCGGCACACAGCCCCCAGGGCCCTGCCGCACGCCCTCGGCCGCCCTAATGGCTTTTCTCGAGTGGCAAATCGATCGCGTCGTCTCCGTCTACTTGAATGACGCCGCGCGACCCCAGCCACCTCCTCGGTGACGAGGAGACGCTGCGGCTTGAGGCTCCGGGTGCCCGCGGCGGCGGCGGCGGATGTGACAGTCGGCGTCCAGCGGCTGGCGAGGAGGCTTGCAGTGCGCGGGTCATTGTTGGATTTTGCATCCTTTCTTTTTTCGGTTTTTCCTCGACAATTCAACTCGGTATCTTAATGCAGCTGTTTTAAATCCACACGTCCGTGGGAATACTGCACGCACGTGGCGGCAGCTGTAAGAGCGCGTGGACCTGACGATGTTTAGCTGCAGTGTGACGCCATGGGCCGCGGACAAATTGATACGACCAAGAAGACGACGATGACGATGAGCGTCTTTGTCGGAGTGAATATATTCACCCTCTCTACGAGCACACAGAATGCACCCAATCCGGTTACACCTCGTAAGCTAAGCTGGGTTGAGCCTGGAAAGTGCTTGGATGGGCGGCCACCTTGCTCAAAAGATGGGCACAGAGGGCACGTTGTGGACATTAGAGGGGAGAGTGCGGTCATCTCCATCGCTGACCTCCGCCACATTAACCAAACCGGACTGTCCAGCGTGGTGAGGTATGGGCAAGTGCCCCACTCGCTCTGCTCGTCGTGAAGAGCCCTCGTCCCGCAGTGGGTTGAGGTGGGCGGTAGATGTCCGTGCACTCGGCGCGTCCCTTGCCTCATTATGCCGCGTGTCGGCCCAGAAGAGCACCCGGCCTTGTGGGGGGGTCGGGTGCAGAAACGAACGGAGCCGCTGCGTGAAGCCCCGCGCCTCTTAGGGTCAAAGGGTCACGGCGATGTCCGCAGCGCTTCCCGTGGTGACGACGCTTTGATGCCGCACACGGGAAGCAGCAGAATGCTTCGTCGGTGTGGAAAGGGATTCCGCTCAGCAAATCAATTCGGCGTTCGGTGAACAGAGTTTCTGCCCTGTGACGAGAACACTTTTGTGGATACTTCCAAGTGTCTGGAAGTCTCAAGTCACTAAAGCTCATGTAAGGACTCGTGCACATCCGTGTGGGCAATTGAACAGGTAGCGATTCCATTCGACGGGTGTCCTTAGTCAATAATTTTTCACATTTTTTGTTCATGTATCCCAATAATCACACCGTGAAGCTACACGTCAGTGTAATGCAGTGTCAATGCCCCTTCTTAAGTCACTTAACACCCAAAGGGTAAATTATATTATAATGCATGGTGGCAGCAGCAGTTCGAGAATGTTCAGGAGTTCAATGGCAATGTTGAGGCCTGCTGGCAACGAGGGGGCTTCAGGAGGAAGAGTTTGCGGAGCGTTGCTGTTCCTCCTCCGTTGAAGGAACGCAGACCACGTGTGGTTCACCATATACGGTCCACGGTGTGGGTAAGCAAACAGTCAGCATGGCCGGATAGAAGTTGTAGAACAATCTGTGTACCTGTGGAGTAATGCGCGTGAAGAAATGTTGGGGTGGATTTTTACATGGGCGACGTAACCACTTTGGATGATTATAGTGGTAATCATTTCTATGGGATATGGGTGTTTGAGATAACAGTAATGTCTGTGCTACTGTATGGATTAGAGAGGCTAAACTTAAATAGATATAGAATCTGTACAAGATTTATTTAGTGGTGCATGTGGAGGATATTGGTAATTAGGATATTGGTAATTTCTCAGCAGGATGCGTGAGCAAGGGAGTTCTAGACGCCAGCCTTGGGCAGGTGACGAGACAAACCTTGGAGTGGCCTCAACGGAGGTTTTAATCCGGATCTAAAGCCAGAGTGCGGATCTTGCAAGGATGTTGGAATGTGCAATCGGGAGTGGAGGCGAGAATTGTGAGGGCATCAGCTGTCATTGACTATCTTGCCCCCTTTGCCATGAGTTCTATCTCCGATGAAGATGCACGGGAGACATAAGCTGACCGGGCAGCTCGGTGTGAGCGTGACTGTCCGACTGCAGGCGATGACGTCCGCGTTCGTTATTAATATTGTAGACAGGGAATCTTCGATTCTTCGGCATCACTCAGACTCACACCGACCACAGACGTCGTGGGACCAAACTGTGGTTAGAGTGACGTTTCAATCTCTCTGTAAACCCATAGAGTCGGCAATTGATAGGAAGATATGTGGATCCGATAGATTTTTCAGATGAAGATTATGAATAATTGGATGCTGTGCATTTTTATGAAGCGCATCTGTGTCCTGGCAGCTTTATGTACGGGGACCTCACCGACAAGGAGACGGTGGAGAAGGTGAAGCAGACGTTTGAAAACTACGAGTCCTGCTCCTTTGAGATCCTCATGTACAAGAAGAACCGTGAGTAGTGTCTCCACACTCAGCACCACGATGAGTGAGCTCTCCACACTCTTGTCTGGTTTATGTTTGGTCTTTGCCCCAATGATTTTGTTTTACAAATGTGTTAACGGTGTCATGGCATGAGATGAAGTATCCCAGTGGTTATTTCATAGAGCAGTGCATCATTTGGTGTCAGAAAACAGTCCACGGAAGCAGATACTACATCTGATATCGCTTAAAGTAAATGCTGTCCACCCAGTACTGGGAAACACTTTCTCACCTTCTCTTCGACACTCAAATCGATATTAAGAATCCTCAGAGCAGGAATTTAGACAAACTAAATACAGAACCACATTTAATGGAATAGTTATTTTTTTCTGGCAGTCATTGGTGACTTGGCTAAGACCATCAACTTAGGACGCTCGTTGGCTGCCCGGATTCAAATCCAGGACGTCGGTGATGCCTGCTTGGCCCTGTGACCTCTGACCCTCCTGGCCAGCTCTCGAGCATGGCTCTGGAGTTGTTCAGATTTTTTGTCATCAACCCTAAACTGCAAGGAAAACGCACATTCAGGCTTGAATGTTCTCATCGTATGTGACCGAGTGCTGCTGTCACCCGGTGAGAACCGAGACTCCCACGGAGCCAAGCGGAGCCAAGCGGAGCCTTCATTCTCTTTCATTCGCTCTCATGTCGCCCGTGTTCACTTTCACTCCACCGCGACGCCTCGCATTACGCATGTGAGGTCTCGCCTGTGAGCACTCAGAGGCTGCGCTCGATTTAAATATTTATGTCAGATTATTTACGAGGTCTGAGGGCAACGTCGCTTCTGTGTAATTCCCCGCTCTCCTTTGCCCCACGTCGTCCAGCGTGGGGAGACTTTCTCTCGTCGTGCACCAATATTTAATTTCTCAGAGCTGTACGTGAATTGAACACTCAAGGGGGCGTGTGCTCTGTCAAGCAGAGCGAAGTAAGATTAGCACGGTTGGCTACGCACGGTGAGAAAGAAGTTCTCCGTGCAGCCTGTTCTCCTATAACGCGGTAGTTGCGTTCCTGAAGATCACCGCGTAATGGAAAATTCGCGTGACAATAAATCATATATAAGATAGGGGAAAGCGCAGGCCGCGATAACGCGTGAGATGCGTACGCAGGTTGAACAAAGACCGGGGCGCCTGGTTAGCATCTAGAAGCATCCAGCAGCATCCCGCCGCCGCCTTGTTGCGCGATGCTACGCCGAGGCAGCCGTATGACCGCTTGTTCCGACTCGCGCGACGTAGTTCCGTTCACTCGGTCGCGTTACATATCTAATTCGCGTCATGAAAACGCGGCGTTACAGGAGAACAGAGTGTATATATGCGAGCAATGAGCAAGAGTCGTCAAGCACAGTTCAATCCCCATTCCCCACATGCGCGGTATGATTGCAATATCCGTGTGCAGTCTCGCCCGAGGCCACAATCAGGCCCATCGCCACAATCAGGCCCATCGCCACAATCAGGCCTGAGGCCACAATCAGGCCCATCGCCACAATCAGGCCCGTCACCACAATCAGGCCTGACGCCACAATCAGGCCCGTCGCCACAATCAGGCCTGAGGCCACAATCAGGCCCGAGGCCACAATCAGGCCCGAGGCCACAATCAGGCCCGAGGCCACAATCAGGCCCGTCGCCACAATCAGGCCCGAGGCCACAATCAGGCCCGAGGCCACAATCAGGCCTGAGGCCACAATCAGGCCCGTCGCCACAATCAGGCCCGAGGCCACAATCAGGCCCGAGGCCCCTGCTTGATCTACTTCCCCTCCTCTCTTGCCGAGACCGCTGCGATTCTGGCAAATCTGTAAGTCTCTATGAGACACGCCGAATCCTGGTTTTGGTTATGAAGACGTCGCTGAAGAAAATTAATTTACATGAAATGTTTCCCTCTTAAAGAATTGTCAGGCAGTTTTTTTTCCCTTAAGGATACGTCCCAGATCTTTGTACCCTTAGAGGTGGCAACCGTAGCCTGTCATGGCGTTGGAAACTACTGCAGCCCAGGCTGTGTCTCCCCTCCCCCACGGTGCCTGCGAGTTCGTTTGAGTCGGAACTCCCTGCACCCTCTCTTTGGCTGCTCTCCTTACATAGAAGAGCCCTGAAGACGTAATGCACGAGAAACGTGGAGACGTGCGTGCTTGGAATGAAGCTGAGAGGCAGAAAGGGAAACCCGAGTGAGATACATCCAATACACTGTTCACAATAACAGTGAGTGGATTATGAAGGACAGAAGGGATTGATGGCCAGTGCTCGAAAATGAAGATGGCATGGCAACTAACGGAGGGCCTACGCTTAAGATTGCGTCAATCCGTGCAAACCTCCAATCACTCACTCTCCATGCGTTCTTGTGTAATTTTCAGCTTTTGTTCCAAGCCATTTTCATGATCTAATTAAAACAACATTGGATGACAACTGTGGACAGGACCGATCTGCCTCCTTGCGGGACCGTTTTCGTCAAGAACTGTTTACATTTTACTTTATTCCCCTACGGCTGGACTCGTCTGTAATGCACAGGCAAGAAGAGTCGATCCTAGACATCATCGATGGAAATGGATTGTGAGCGAGGTGGCTGTAGATGAGACGAGTCGTGCGGTTGGTTCCATTATCCATGTAATGCTGCCGGAAATTAAAACGCCCCACGTGTGTATTTCCATTGCCTGGTTTTGCTAAGTTTCCGTCGGCCCGGAGGGGTGGAATTGTATTAAATTCGAGGATAAGGCCACTCAGGGGATCCTCTGTATAGCCAGCGGAGATAACCTCAGCTGTCAGCTCAGTGTCTCAATTCAGATGTCCCGCTGCGAGATTCTATCAGTCGGACTGATGAAATGGTACCACCGTGGGGGGACGGCTGACGCTCTGGACGTGCATTCCAGCGGTCACCGGTTCAGGCTGACCTCCCGGCGCGGCAGCTGAGAACGACGGTGCAAGTTTCTTCAATGGCCCCCCTCTCTGCCTGCACCATGGTAACACCGCATTGTGTCCATCGGCGGGTCACGTTTGGTGGGCCTCAAGTGTGGGTACTGCCACCTATTTCAAGATGTCTGGCCCGCGTGATCACGTAGGCCACCACAGAGGAGCTCCTCTCTAGAGCTCCGTCTAACGAGGGGCTTTCTACCAGCAGTTGCGTGAACAAGCAAATGCAGGGCTGCACTTTTGTCTTTTATGTGTTTTGAAAGGCAGGCGTTCGCACGTGCTCCTCCCTTGATGATCTTCATCTTGACCACCCCCCCACCCTCGCTCCCCCAGGCACTCCGCTGTGGTTCTACATGCAGATCGCTCCCATCCGTAACGAGCACGATAAGGTGGTCCTCTTCCTCTGCACTTTCCGTGACATCACGGCCTTCAAGCAGCCCATAGAAGACGACTCCACGAAAGGTGGGTTGCTGTACTGACGTCGATCCACTGGGCAGTCTGATCTGTGTAAACGTGTCACCAAATTAACGGCATTAAAATATTTCTAAGAATTTTCCGTATAATTTTTTGAGTATCATCCACTTGCACGTAATGCAATCGTTTTTTGTTGATTTGTTTTAACACTTATAAGTGTGATGAAGGTAGGGAACGCATCCAAGATGACGTATTCTTGAGAGCGATGAAATCGATGAATTGCGCAGATGCTTGGTGGATGTTTACGTAGTGAGAGGTGGCCGTGGCTCATCCAGCAGTGGATTGACCACGACTGATGAACATTTATTTTCAACCACTTAAAATATTAATAATTCACAGAGCCCTCTATCATTCCACCGATGGATGAAAACCTCGCCACGCTGTGTTGGTCGTGGGTGCGTTCCACCATAATTCACCATATTTCACCATAATTCACCACGCCTTATCAGTAGAAGCGTTGATGCTGGACAACCCCTCTTACCTGCGACAATGTAGGAGAGGGTTGTGGATAAGCAAAGCGGGTATCAGGAGTTGTGACCCCTGAGGTGGCGAAGATGCCCGTGGGCTGTGAGCTAAACCACAGCCAGGGCCACTGACCACCCAGAGCGCAACGCAGGTCATTTTATCCCACCCCCCACTTCCCCCTCCCCGGCCGAAATAACGTACAACCGTTTTAAAATACAATTTGACTAAAATGTCAGCCTAATTTTCTTCCAGGTTTATATCTGATTTCATCTTCACTAAGAACAGCAATTCCAAAGTCTGTGAATGTCACGGACAAAGCTGCTCTGACAAAAGCACGTGTCATTCGGAGAAGGAACGTGCCACTTACGACATTCATGGCGTGAAATGCGAATTTTGGTCGTTAACGCCTCTTTGTTGTTGTGTTGGAGAATGCTGTGCGCATCTTAGCATGCGGCTTGCTGATTTGCTGTGTATGAGGGATGCGTTTCAGAAAAATGTTTTTGGATATCAGATTTTTTTATTTTTCGAGCCAATTGAAGGTTTTTTTTGTTGCATATTTTTATATTTTCAGATTTGAACCGATTAGATTTTCATATCTCGCCATTTGCGCACAAAATGCCACGATTTGAATAATGTTAAACGTTCATAAAAAAACCTTTAACAATAAGTTACGTCACTAAAAATATAATTATGAGGTTAATATTTTCAACCAGCTCCCCCTTCATTAAGCAAAAACGCCTCTGTCAAAGCCCAAATGTTGGATTAGTCTAATTAAACTGTTGCTAAAATAATCATCCCAGCAGACAAAAGAGCAAAATGAAAGCCTAATCACTTGACAAAGAGATGTGAAAACAATACAAATGAGGCTTTGTGCGGCGAGTCGCTCACACGGGGCGCGGAGCGACGGCGTCTCTCCCCACACAGCCCCGTCCGCCGCTGTCACCTCACGGCGGATCGCTCGCCGCGCAGTTCCCGCAGGCAGCTGATGCGTGCATGTGGTGGCCTATGTGATCACGCGGGCCAGACATCTTGAAATAGGTGGCAGTACCCACACTTGAGGCCCACCAAACGTGACCCGCCGATGGACACAATGCGGTGTTACCATGGTGCAGGCAGAGAGGGGGGCCATTGAAGAAACTTGCACCGTCGTTCTCAGCTGCCGCGCCGGGAGGTCAGCCTGAACCGGTGACCGCTGGAATGCGCGTCCAGAGCGTCCGTACGTAGCCAACCGCGCTAATCGGAGAGCGGAGACCGCGAAGCGACGTCGGCCAGTTATTTGCCCGCCGGGCGTCGGGATCGGCCTTTGTGACGTCACCGAGCGTGGGCGTGGCCGGCCGCCATGTTGAGAGCGCTCGCGGGCGCCTCGTGCTCGACGCGCCGCTCCGTGGGCGGCCAACGGAGTCGCCGGAGGGCTGAGACGCGACCCGCACGGTGCCCGACTCGGGCGAGGTTTGTTCCGGCCGCGGCCGAGCGATCGACGATTTGGGCGCCGTCCCTCCGGTGCGCCGTCGTCGCGGTAGCCGAGGCGACGGCGTTCCCGCAGGCCGGCGGCATCGCCACCTCCGCTGTCGGTGTCGCGGCGTTAGGGACGTCACCGCCGAGCGACAGGTCTCTGCCGAGAGTCACGCCGGGGACGCGTACGCATCACGCCCATGGCACGCGGTGCCCGAGGCGCACTCTGGTGTTGCGCTCGCCGTGCCGTGTCAGCCGTCGACAGCGACTGTGCGTTCGGTGCGTTCCCGTTGTTGTTACCGTTTAGGCTGGACCAAGTTTGCCCGGCTGACACGCGCCCTCACCAACAGCCGCAGCGTCCTGCAGCAGCTGACGCCCAACGTGCACAAGGGGGAGAACGTGCACAAGCACTCACGCCTCGCCGAGGTGAGGCCAGCACAGCGCGCAGTGGCGGCAGCAGTGGCACAGACGAGCAGCGCGAGAACAACTCGGCCGTCATCGCCGTCACCATCGACATCACCGCCATCATCGTCATCATCACCACCACCATCATCACCACCATCATCAGCACCATCATCACCACCATCATCACCATCATCACCACTACAATCATAACCACCATCACCACTACCACCATCATCACCACCATCATTACCATCATCACCACCATCATCACCACCACCACCACCATCATCACCACTACCACCACCACCATCATCACCATCATCATCACCACCACCATCATCACCACCATCACCATTATCATCACCATCATCACCACCACCACCATCATCACCACCACCATCACCACCCTGCAACTTGCAGACGTCTAGGAACGGGAAAGGGTGAAGCTGCTCGTCTTCCTCTCTCCCTTGACGACCGCGGGGGCTCTGGGTGGCGATGCCTCGAGTTTTCTAAGGCCGGACGGCGTGGGGGCACCGCCGATGCTTAGCTCGTGGCCACGTCCCCGTAAGTGCGCGCGTACACGTGCACCTCCTCTAACCCGGGTTGCCATGAGCGGGAGTGGCCGGCGGAATTACCACGGTCGTCACCAAACGTTGAACAGAGACGGTAAACGGCACATTCCTGGCAACTTCACGCATGATGGTGGTCATGTGTGTTGGCACAGATTGAGTTGTAATCATTGCACGCTCGCCTTACTTTGAACAATTGGTCTCAATGTGGTGAAACATAGATCTCAAACCAGACGCTGGTGGCTCTGCGGCTGCACGTGGCTGCCCGTAGTCCAGCACTCCGCAGCGAGGGTTGGTGGTTCAAGGCAACAAATTCGTGAAACTCGCTTCCCGTGGGCGTCGAGGTCGCCATCTCGGCATCACAAGTGAATTGCAGTCCAGCAAGCGGGTTAATCTCCGCCTGTTTGGGACTGAGTGTTGCCCACCTCGCACCGTGTGTTTTCTCGGGTAACTCATGTTTCCTCCCACGTGTATAGAGCACTCGTCGGTGGGCTTGGCCATCCATCCCATTGTAGGACCACAGAGCTTGGGAAATTGCTGGCTCCATTCCTGGCCGCCTCGCCGCGAGGCTGTGGTTTAATGTGCTTCTGTACAAAAATCTGTTACATATTCCGCCGCGTTTTGAGATGCAACTTGCACCAATGATGCTACGTGGAATAATTCCTATAAGTTACAAGTACATGCCTCGACATGCCCATTTCCTCCTTTACTGTGTAGGTGCTTCAGCTGGGCTCGGACATCTTGCCTCAGTACAAGCAAGAGACACCCAAGACACCTCCACACATAATCCTTCACTACTGTGCCTTCAAAACCACTTGGGATTGGATTATCCTCATCCTCACCTTCTACACAGCCATAATGGTCCCCTATAACGTCTCGTTTAAGACCAAGCAAAACAACGTCGCCTGGCTGGTGGTGGACAGCGTGGTCGATGTCATATTCCTGGTGGACATCGTCTTGAACTTTCACACCACGTTCGTCGGGCCAGCCGGGGAGGTAATCTCCGACCCAAAGTTAATCCGCATGAACTACCTGAAGACGTGGTTTGTTATCGACCTGCTCTCCTGCCTGCCGTACGACATCATCAACGCCTTCGAGAACGTCGACGAGGTGGGTGGAGTAGTTCCCGCGTGCGGAGGGAGCCGTCGGAGGGGGGGGGGGGTGTAACGCCGTGTCCTCCGCTTCTCTCCACAGCCGCGCATTTTACATTGGTTTATTTTTGCCGTGGTTGCATTTTATAAAAAAAAACATTGCTCTGCCCACTTATCCACGTTCAACGATGGGAGGTGTCATGGAGAGTAGGCTACGTTTTTGTGTGTGTGTGTTAAAGAACAAAAAAAAACAGTTGAACTGCAGTAAAACGAAAGGGACACGCAATTATCTCGCTTCGTAAAGCACGTAACATCGAGCGTCCCTATCCGACTCGCTCTACATTTAATTTTCTCTACGCGGTCACGACCCCGCACCTCCGATTAGCTAATTGTCTACGTACATTGCGAAAGAAGTTTAACGTACGTACGTACGAGGCCACGACACCTGTTGCCTCGTGCCCCGCACACGTCCAGTGGACGTTCGGGGGCGTTACTTATCTTCTTTTATTTCTGCCTTTGCCGCCCCGTGTTGTTGTTGTTATGGTTTCCTTCTTTATCTGTTTGTTTTCTGCTACCCGTGTTCCCTCCTCACGCTGCATGACTCGCTCCTTGCATGGCTGGACGACGCGATGTCGTGCCCGCGCAGAGCTGGAACGAGCGCGCCATCACGCGAGTACGCGCGTCGCACGCACGCACAGCAGCGAACGCACCGCACCACCATGCGCCGTCGTCCTCGAGATGAGGAAACAAACGAGAGGGGACGGCTCCGTCCACCTCGCATAAAATCGTGCTTCAGATCCAGCGGGTCCTGTAAGCGACGAGAGACTCTCACCGAGGCGTGGGAGAAGCCCCACGTGGGGTTTCTCCCACGTGCTCAGGTCGCCATTTTTCCCAACGATGCTGTCAAACGTGAATAGCGAGTGCTATCCTGCCGGAATGTACTGCTTTAATTACCACCTGGTCCTTTGTCCGAGTGTGGCCACGTGTTGAACATTTCTTCTCTCAAACTCTCGCGAAGCATCCGGTCGCCACTCTTATTGTCATTGTTATTCCGTTAACAGACAACAATTTGATAAGAGTGGAGACCCGGGTGAGTGATTCATTGTTTCAACTCCTGAAGATGCCTGCAGTAGTGCGTGGCAAAAGCTTGATGGGAGGAGACGCTCATTGCTCGGCCTCCACCTACGTCACCCGTGCCTGCGGAATTACTATAAAAACTAATTTTTTTTATGTGACCAGGTAAGGCTCACTGAGCTATATAGATATTTTTAAGAAGCAACCTAGCCACAACTGATAGCCTTCGTGCCGAGTCAGCCCTAACTACGTCTACGAAGCCACGTTTCTAGCCGTATGCCTTAAAATCGCTGCGATCTGAAAACAGCGTTACGAATCGACGATGAAACTGCTGCCAACGAGCATAATCATGTTCAATTCTACATTCACCTCACGACGTGAGGTGAACAGCACCGCAGCGTTTTGCGAGAATCAAAATCTTTCCTGGAAACGCCTTGGGCACAAACTGATCGTCTGAACCTTGCGTCTGACGGCGTCGTTCCCTCCGTCTCTACCCTGAGCTTGCTGTCCACCAGCCACGCTTCGTGTCTCATCTCCACAGTTTCATCCCATTTCCTTCCACGAGCGGCGTTGGTTGGTTGATTGTTAAGAGTGAAGATGTATTTCTTGTGGCGTAGCACTTTCTTGCATCAGTATTCACCTATCACCTAATCACACGGGATGCGCCCGGTGGCCAAAGCTAAGCAGAATTCAGCCTGGACAAAGCCTGTTTGGGTGATGACCAGGCACAATCAGATGATCTTAGAACCCATTAGGAGCGGCTCACAATGCTGGTTCTGTCGTCCACACACGCTATTGCTCATTCGCAGTGTATCTTACAACGTGAAGTAATAACATTCCGCCCTTTAGCGATCCACTGCTGGATGATGTGCTACACGGGCCGAATCAGGTCCCGATGGCGCTTGTGTGGTCACACTTTACCACCCCGATGAGTGGCGGTTGGTAAAGGGGTGGCCCATGACTGGATCGTAGGTCTCTCTCTCTCTCCATGGACGTTGGCTCGATTTGAGTTCAGGTTGCCGCCATGTTCACATCATCGTCCGTGAACCATAGAACTGCCACCGCCACTGCCACCGCCACTGCAACCACTGCTGCTGCTGCCGCTGCTTCACCCGTCATACGAGCTGTTTTGATTTGCCGTATTCATTTTCAAATGTGAGCGCTTTCCTTTTCAGAATTCACATTCAAGCGAACAGTGTGGGGGGTTCTTTGTTTTGGCTGCACGTGTCTCCCTATGGCAATGCAGTCGTTACACTTGTTTGAAAATCTAGGCAATGTCCTATTTTATTTTAGGAGTCTACCCCACACAACAATATTATTATTATTATCAGTGGTTGATGACACTGGGCGATACTTAGTGAAACTACGGATGACAAGGAGCCACCAGGGTTGCCTTCCTACTACCGAGTTGCCGGGTAATGTCATCACGTGCTCGGACCATCCGGTTGGCCACCGGAGGTGTCAGCTGACGGGGATTACAGAAGCCACAGGTTATTTAACTCATAGCTATAGATTAGTTACAAGATGTTCTTTTTAATCGAAATATCTCCTGGATCTGCTCTTTCTAAACTATTTTCCGTGGTGGTTGGGTAGCTCAGAGGGATTAAGCACGATTCTATTTTAAGCACTGAGTTGGCAATTCTGATATCCCGAGGTAAAACGCGGCCAACCACCCGTGATTTAACTGGGTTCATCGAGTCCATGATGCCTGACGGTCTCCGCCCAGTCGCCAACGATGACACAAAACACCCATCGTATTAAAACGTGATTATTCACATCGTTTGTATGAACTCCGACTCTTGAGGATTAGCTCGTTGGTTTGAAAGAAAAAAACAGTCGATCTACGACAGCGTAACGAAGTAGCAGCTCTTCACGATCAGCCCCGTCCGCCGTGGTGCTGGCGACGCTACACCTGGCTGTAATCCTGCGTTCAAAGTCCACCCTGGATGCTCCCAAGCAGCTGCTGCAGGCGGCCAGGACAGATTCCTGTAGCTCGCCGCTGACCTTTCACTGATTCGCTGATTCTGAGGCCCTGTCACCTTCAATGTGAGACTCGTTCTCTCATTGTCTCTGCTGAGCCAAACGCAAGCAGCACATCCAGTTTCTATTCAGCCCGTGCCTCTTTCTCACGATCGTAAGCTCATAACGCTTGGCACTTCTTTCTCTACTAACTAATCTTGGAACTCACACGTCATGTTGTCAAGGATGCCTCCAAGACAAGGTGTCTCGCCTATTCACCGGTGCACAGGTCTTCTGGGTGGCGCCGCGTATCTCCTCGTTGTGCATTCCGGTCGTGCTGCGCCATTCACGACGTCCGGCGTTCCGCTCCGCACGCTCCGAGCTTCTCCCAATTCAGTTCCTCAAAAAGCTCCCGGCACTGTCGGGCGGAACGTCGGACACCGTGCCGAACGACACACGCGGAAACCCGCCCGAACACTGCGTCGGGGAAGTTGTCCGGGCCGCTTAGAGCCGGGGCCCCTTCGGGACGAGGTCTCCCTCCCCAGCTGCTGGACGCGTGGCCGTGTGTCGGACCGCAGGGCATCAGCAGCTTGTTCAGCTCGCTCAAGGTGGTGCGCCTGCTGCGCCTGGGCCGCGTGGCGCGCAAGCTCGACCACTACATCGAGTACGGCGCCGCCGTGCTCGTGCTGCTCGTGTGCGTGTTCGGCCTCGCCGCGCACTGGCTCGCCTGCATCTGGTACAGCATCGGCGACTACGAGGTGCGTCCACGCCGCGTTGAGCCGCTCTCTGCCGGGACCACGCCTGTGCGACGCGTCGTCCGTGTTACCGGAGCGAGCCGGGACCACGCGTGCGCGACACCTCGTGTGTCCGTGTTACCCGAGCGAGCGCATTATTGCATGCTTGGCTGTGCTTCGCGAAGTCGTCGTCCATTGACGGAATTAGCGATAGTTTACGTGCCAGGCCCGGTGTAGCCAGCCGTGCTAATTGGAGGTGTGGAGAAGCGGCGTTCGTGGCCGGCTCCCCTCCTCCGCTCTCCACGCCGATGGCCCGACGGCTTTACCCAATCGTATGCTTTAGCTCTGAGCCCTTTTCCACGACAGCTTGATAGCAGGCGCTGCTTAGCGAGAGACAACGGAATGAGGGCAAACCGGTGCGATCATCGTCTAGACGTCGTGTTTGTTTCATAGACGTTGCACGCAAGAATGGAGGTTAAACAAATAATGTCAAAAAGTTTAATTGTTGAATTAAACATTTTTCTCTCAGGTGATTGCTACAAAAAAACGTTCGGGAAAGTTGCAGGAAAGACAACTTGATTACAATGTTGCATTTCTGTGTGAAATGTCGTGTTTGTATCTCTCCCACCAACGTGTGAATTGTGTAAAATGTACACGTCTGTGTTTATAACCACGGCCGCTCTCTACTTTCCGAAGCGTTAAAATAACAGACGAATATTATCTTGGATTTAAGTTTTTCTCCAGAGGTTCTGAAACAATCTTTAACAATGGGCTTGTACATCGACGTGGAATGGATGGGAATTAGGGTTGCCACCTCTGAGGTTAAAAAAACCGGGACATATCTTGGCAAAAAGAATATCTCACAACATCAGAATTTTGGAGATCCGTGTAAATCAGTGGTGTAATTATTACGCCACTTTCAGATTTCCCAGGGCAGCTACCTCTAGACAAGGAGGATTCTGGGGGGGGGGGGAAACAGGACAGGTAGAAGCCCCGTCCTGGAGTTGATGGATCACAAAAGATTTGTGAAACCTTCCAAACCTGGTAGTTTTCTGGATTGCCAGGAGATTTACGGACAGCTGATGAGTATACGTGAATTCGAGTGCCTGATGCTCTTTGATATCAATATGAACGCAGCTTTAACGCGTACGTATGACGCGCAGGTGTGTTCCATTCAAGGCAGGTGAGGGTGCATCATACGCGGCGTTGCAGTTTCTTATCAGCCGGTTACAAATCGAGCGCAGGAGGGTAACGCGACACACTTCGTCTTCATGAGCCAGTCAACGTGGAAATGCTCCTCCCTGTCAAAGTTGCTGCCCCTCAACTCCCGACAGTTGAATCCACCGCCTTGAGCTGTCCCCACTGCACGGGAGGCGTGGCGCAAATAACAAACGGCGACGATGGCGACGCTTCGCCGTCTTCTCCAGTACCAACACAGCCGCCATTCGCCACCGAGTGACGGCGACGCCACCACGGTGCCTGTGCCAGGCTAGGTGCACTTTGAGAACCACGTGAGAGTGTCGAAGGCTCGCCGACGGGAGGTCACGGGACAGACCCAGCAGGTGCCGTGGGCCGGCTGACCGAGATGACCGGCCGATGCGCCAGCTGTGCCCCCGTGCCGACTTGCCGCGTTTTAGCAGCTGTGTTCCCCTAACACCCCCCACCTCCGCCCTAATCAACGGCGGCGGCGGCGCGCGCAGGTGATCGACGAGTCGACGAACCTCATCCGCAAACACTCGTGGCTCTACCAGCTGGGCGAGACGATCGGCACGCCGTACCACTTCAACGGCACCCAGTGGGAGGGCGGCCCCAGCAAGGACGCTGTCTACATCTCGTCGCTCTACTTCACCATGACGAGCCTCACCAGCATCGGCTTCGGCAACATCGCGCCCACCACCGACGGGGAGAAGATCTTCGCCGTCGCCATGATGATGATCGGATGTGAGTTGGAGTTGCCGACGCGCGTCCTCGTCTTCACCCCCCCCCCCCCCGCACACGACGACCGACCGTCACCGTCCACTGCGCTGACCCAGCCCTGAAGCGTGACCTTTGGTTAAAGACGGAGGTGGGGCCATACAGTAACTCGGGGTGGGGGGGGGGGGGTGCGCGACCCGGTCAATGTTAAATTTTAAACCAAAGTGAAAGGCGACGGGTTTAGAACGGGAGGGCCGAGCCGCGAGCGGCGCTTCGGGGGGCCACCGCATCGCGCCCCGCACGCACCGCGTGGGGCGGCCAGCCCGTGCCTCGTCGCAGCATCTGCACCTCGAGTGCAACTCCTCCTCCTCCTCCTCAGCAGCTGGGTGTGGGTGCCCCGGTGGTGTGGGTGCCCCGGTGGTGTGGGTGCCCCGGTGGGGTGGGTGCCCCGGTGGTGTGGGTGCCCCGGTGGTGTGGGTGCCCCGGTGGGGTGGGTGCCCTGGTGGTGTGGGTGCCCCGGTGGTGTGGGTGCCCCGGTGGTGTGGGTGCCCTGGTGGTGTGGGTGCCCCGGTGGTGTGGGTGCCCTGGTGGTGTGGGTGCCCCGGTGGTGTGGGTGCCCCGGTGGTGTGGGTGCCCCGGTGGTGTGGGTGCCCCGGTGGGGTGGGTGCCCCGGTGGTGTGGGTGCCCCGGTGGTGTGGGTGCCCCGGTGGTGTGGGTGCCCTGGTGGTGTGGGTGCCCCGGTGGGGTGGGTGCCCTGGTGGTGTGGGTGCCCTGGTGGTGTGGGTGCCCTGGTGGTGTGGGCGCCCCGGTGGTGTGGGTGCCCTGGTGGTGTGGGTGCCCTGGTGGTGTGGGTGCCCTGGTGGTGTGGGTGCCCCGGTGGTGTGGGTGCCCCGGTGGTGTGGGTGCCCCGGTGGGGTGGGTGCCCCGGTGGTGTGGGTGCCCTGGTGGTGTGGGTGCCCCGGTGGTGTGGGTGCCCCGGTGGTGTGGGTGCCCCGGTGGGGTGGGTGCCCCGGTGGTGTGGGTGCCCCGGTGCTGCGGGGTCAGCAGTGTCGCCATGCGTGAGCCGTCGCTTTACAGCCCTGCTTATCCCTGCTCAAACCCACAAAGGCGGCGATAGCAGCTGTTCTCTACGAATTAGATCTCAAAACCCCGTATCTGTGTGTGCCCAGGCCCTTCGTGTTTGCTCAAAGTCATCGCCTATCTCTGCGAGTACAGCGGCGAGCGAGAGCTTCTACCTCGATATGTCTGGACCGTGCGGTGCAGCACCACAGTAATGACATGCACTATTTTATATGGCCTCTGAGACATCGTATTTTTACACCTTGGATGTAATTGGTTTTTCGAAAAGCAGGTTTATTTACAGGGGCGGAATCAAAATGAAAACAGCGTGCGGTATTCTGACAGTAAACTAGCTTTGTGTCTTATCAACCTAATTACAAGGATATATATATATATGTGTGTGTGTGTGTGCGTATTTGCATTCAATTTGGCGCCTAAACGGCGCGGTGTCCTAATCGCCTCACGAGCATTCAAATCGTGAAAATAAATTATCGTCAGGAGGAAACGTCTGACAGGATAGAGGGGGTGTGGGAAGAGAGAGAGAGAGCATGGAGACATTGGAGGGCTGTGAGTCAGGAGTCAAAGCGAGGCCAGCGATGGACGCTCGTGCGCCTCGCGCCGCATGGTGGACGCTGGCGGCGGGGGGTGATGTCAAGGGGCTGCCGCGCCGGGAGAGCGACGATCCCCGCGACCTCCCGGCCGTCATGCCGAGCGCGCTCGCCATCTACGCCGCGGTGGCACCGTCGCTGTTCGTACGCCGCCGTTCCGCTCGGGGTTGTTTCTCTTTTCGCTTTGAAAATCGATGCCATTTAGGTGGTTGGCGGGCGGAAGTTCGCTCGGTATCAATTATAAATGAAGTGAAGCGGGCTGTCCACGCGATGGGGCTTACAGCGTAGACGATAAACCAAGAATGAGCATCTTGCTGAGGCCAATCGTTGGCGCACCATCACGTGGCAGAGACTCGTGATCGCGGCGCCGCTGCCCAGAGCACGATGCAAAGCGACGCGCGCAGATGAATGTAGTTTAAAATCTCGCAAACGCGTTTAGAAATTAACGAGGTTAAAGGAAACAAGTTGCATTTCCGTGCTGCAAATACACACGCACGTGAACTACACATGAACTACGCACGTGAAATAAGCGTGTTGTACTTCCCCGGACGTACGGCGTGAAAGAAGTTCAACATACGTACACACGTACGTGAACTACACGCGGACTACACACGTGAAACACACACACACACGCACAATGGAGCAGAAAGGACCTTGGCAGCGTCTTCTCTCCCCAATTTTGCCGGGACGTCACCCGGGGTCATGGACGCGCGGGAGAAGAGCGGCCGAGTTGGCGTGGAGCAAACACGCCGGCGTGCTCGTTAGAGTCGCCTTCGCGTCACCGAATGTTTATATCCGTTACTGCCCTCCCATATCGCGCAGTGTATACAGCACGTCTCATTAAATACGGATCCGGTAGGGCTGACCGCGCTTGGCTTTCGCCCGATGTGTTTACTCCTCTCGGCGGACGGAACGTTCCGTGCTGATTTTAAAACTTTGTCATTAAATGCAAATGATGTGCGTGCACAAGTTGAACCTGCCGGAACGTGCGCTCTTGCGCGCTGTGGATTGACAATTTTGATAGCCCCTACGCAGGGTGAAGGTGACACCCGTAGGCTCTAGGAGTGGCACGACCACTGTGTCCGTTTTCGCGGTTGTGCTGTGCGGCTCCGCGATCCGGTTTCCAGTTGTGCTGACATTTCAGTCCATTACCTGAAGAAGCTCTCAACGCGTGAAGCGAAACGTCAGACCTCGAGGCATACATAACCCAAAGGTGCATCGGACAGATACACGTGACATCGATATTATAACCCTTTCTTGGAACAAGAAAGCAATTGCGTTAACATTGTGAAATGCCTCGTTTCATCCGAACAGCGCTCCTGTACGCGACCATCTTTGGCAACGTGACCACGATCTTCCAGCAGATGTACGCCAACACGAACCGCTACCACGAGATGCTCAACAGCGTCAGGGACTTCCTGAAGCTCTACCAGGTGCCCAAGGGGCTGAGCGAGCGCGTCATGGACTACATTGTGTCCACCTGGTCTATGTCCAAGGGCATTGACACCGAGAAGGTATGTCACCGCCACGTGTGTGCCCAATGGTGATAGCGGGTTCTAGCAATAATTCACCAGCAGTAATTACTTTTAGGGCCCCCAATCTACCAGTGTCTTCAAATTGACAATACGGTGAATTAAAATAGATAACAGAGTCTTGTGTTTGTTCGTCTAGCTCCGTGCGTGACTGCAGGCCTCCAGCAGCGGTTACAGGTGTTGCCCGTGATTGAGCGGGGCATAGCTAGACACGCTGGTGCCTGGCCCAAGGTAGCATCCGCGCACAGCCACCCCCTGCTGCTGCTGCTGCTGCCCACGCCACTGTGGGCGGCGTGGGCAGCAGCAGCAGCAGCGCCGCCCCACCAACAACTCTGAGCCACCACCGCCGGCTTCGTCTCCACTGCGTCAGCTCCACCGTGGCGCAACGCTGGACCACGATGATGTCACAGGGTTGCTCATGAAGTCACTTCAGCGGACCCCTTTATCCACGTGTTAAGCGCATTCTCTATGCTCGTGTCAAACCGAATTCAAGATGCCGCCGTGTTTTCTTAGTGCGGTCATCGGTGACGAAGCCGAGACCATCGCCACCTTGGGAAGTTGACCGCAGGCGGCGCTCGGACTCGCGCACTCGCCCCCTGGGCCAACACCTCCACAATCACTAGTTGCGGGAATGTTATGTTCAAACAATCTTGTTGGATACATAAATAAATTGAACTAAATTTGTTCACAGCATTGGCAGTTGTGTCAAAGTAAAAATACCAAAAGAACTTGCCATGTTCATGAATAACATTTCCTTACGATCATCATCAGCCATGGTTCAATCCACTGCTAGATGAAGGCCTCCCCAAGCCTCCGCTACCTCTCACAATCCTGCAATGTGATAGTCCACCCGGCACCTGCGCATGAACCGATTTCATCGCTCCGCCTTCATGGTGAACGTTCTCTCAGACGCATTCCGTTCCTCGGCTGCCACTCCGTTGTACCTGACCATCGGCAATCGTCCCTTCTCGTGATGCATCATGCCCAAGGGTGTGAGCGTCACGTTGGCCAGATGTTAACTACCTCACCTGGTATACAGGTGGTCGTGGGTTCTATCCCCACCCTGACACCTGTATATTTGGAATTTGTATGTCCATCTCCCCGCGGTCGCGTGGATTTTTCTCTGGGTCCTCTGGTTTTTCCCTTCACATTTAGAAACATTCATTTAGAGTTTTTGGCTGCGATAAATTGCAACGTAATAAGCCACTTCGTTGAGCTACCATTTGTGGCCAGGTCGCTTCTGCAAAAGAGCGATGTAGCTCAGTGGGCCTTCCCTGGTAAAATAAAAAAAAGTTTAGTTTAGTGTTCTCTGACCAATGTGCTCCTGTGTCGTTCAGTGTAATTCCAAGCGTGCATCTCTGTGCATTTTTCAGTCATTGTTTCATTTTTTGTGTAAATGGCCACCTTAACATTTCCGTATGACAGGAAATGTACACGTCAATTGCATTCTCTCATAGTGGCCCTTCTTTTAAGAACCCCTACTGGCATTGTGCGCTGATTTGTGGGTTGTGTTTCGAACGCCGCGTGTGTGCTCATTGTAAGTGTCTGTAATTGGATGGAATCCGCCACGTGTAGAGGATTGCTAAACAAAACGTATTCACTGCTTCATAAATATGTTTATTGGACAAAGTATGATACGTTTTTAGGAAGGGATGTATATATAATCAAATAATCACATATTTTTAAATAAACATCGGAAACCTTAAAATATGTTTATTAGGCATTGAAAGTTAAGAGAGATAGCACCTTTGATTAGCACGGTTGGCTACGTACAGTGCGAAAAAAGTTAAAGATAATTTACGTGACCACATCTGCATTCCTTCGCCACGGCCCTGCAGCCAATGCCCGACCATTGAACAACCCAGACACAACGATCAAAACAACTTTAGCCTCCCGAGCCTTACCCTTCCGATCCATTGCAGGTGCTGCACATCTGCCCAAAGGACATGCGGGCGGACATCTGCGTGCACCTCAACCGCAAGGTGTTCAACGAGCACCCCGCCTTCCGCCTGGCCAGCGACGGGTGCCTGCGCGCGCTCGCCGTCGAGTTCCAGACGCACCACTGCGCCCCGGGGGACCTCATCTACCACGCGGGCGAGAGCGTCGACACGCTCTGCTTCGTCGTGTCGGGCTCCCTCGAGGTCATACAGGACGACGAGGTCGTGGCCATCTTGGGTAAGGGCGCCGCCCGGGTCACCTCTCGCCGCCGCCGCCGCGGCCGCAACACGCGGCCCCGGTACGGCCGCGGCCTCGCGACCATCGCTCGCTCGCTCGCACGCTCGCACGCAAGGCGGCTTCCCCACGGCCTTCCTCCATGCAGCACCACGGCCGTGCGCCACTTGAAAGCTGACGCGCGACGGCCGCTCGCTGCGGGAACGGAAGGGAGCGGCACGCGAGGCACCCCCTCACCCCTCTCTCTCCGGCTCTTGCGAGCGAGAGCTCTGCGCTCGCTGTTGTACCATCCGAATCACTCTCCTGAGCCACGTGGAGACACATGGATGCACTCGCCGAGCCTTCTCTCAGGCAGTCATCGTCGATGCGACGCGACAGCCAACAACAACTTTTTGTCTCTCCTCCGCACCTCCGATTAGCACGGTTGGCTACGTACGGTGCGAAAGAAGTTCCACATACATACGTACACGTACATACGTACACGGCACTGCTGGGCCTCTACTCGACGGAGCACCAGGGAGCCCATCAACAGCCTATTTTTACCTACTTTTCCACACTTTACCCCAAAGTGTAATTGCACCAGACACCGTGTAACTGTGGAGTCTACAGGCTGTTCCCGCTCGGTCCCTCCGCATGCACCGATCACACCGTGTGGCAACGGCTGCGATGGGGGACTGTTATCTGCTTTTAGGTCCATAGCACCGATGAGATTTTTCAGTAAAAAGAAATCACTGTACTTTAATAGAAACTTAATTTGTAATTTCACACCAGAGTACAAAAATAGCACTGCAATGATCCAGGGATCATTCATTCTGATTATATTTTTTTAAAGTGGCAATGTCCAATGGGAAATTGTTGCCTTTTTAAATTTAGAATTCAAATGAAGATTAAATAGTTTCGACTAATTTATTTTGTAATCAATAATATTTAAAAATTATCAATTTAGTTTTTGTATTGGTGTCATTTTATTAGAATGCGCATTGTATTGAGGACTTACGTTGAATGTTAACCTGTGGCGGGTGTTGACGTGTGTGTGTGTGCACGTGTCTCCACACACACGTGTGTGTGCACGTGTGTGCACACGCGTGTGTGTGCACGCGTGTGTGTGTGCAGGGACCGCCGGCTGGTGTCAGAGTGCAGTGTTGAGGTGGCCGGTGGCTCAAATGTTTGGTGGGGCAGTGCGGGGGGTGGGGGGGCGAGGGGGGCGAGGGGGCGGTGGGGGGGCGAGGGGGGCGAGGGGGCGGTGGGGGGGGGCACGGGCGGGGGGGGGCCTTAAAATGGAAGTGGAATTATTTAATTATTCGCGACCTTTGCCGAATATTTGGCACGGCTGCTGGTGGTGCGCAAGGGCCCATGGGAAGTGGTTATTAAGCGGTATCATTAGGCCGGACACACTGGACTCCTTGAATTTAATATAATTTAGTAATCAATTCCACCTACATCAATTATACATTTTAACAACTTGTTAAACGGTTATTTTAACTGTTTCTTTTAATTTAAAAAGCATACTTTGTATATATTTTTGTAAAAACGCGAAAGCAACTTGTCTATACGAGGCACCGCACAGACCATCCACCGCTGATTACACGTTAGACACCATCAAATGAAAACGTAATTCTCTACACACATGTTCAGGCGGTCCCCGCTTGAACAACGCAAAGCGTTGCTGGAAACCTGCGCCGTAAATCGGATCGTAGTAAATCGGACCCGAATTTCCCATAGACAGTACAAGCAGTACAAACAGCACTTGCCGGTGTGTACCTAACGTGGTGTAATCGGTAACGATCCGCAAAAAACGCCTCGGAGTAACAAAAAGTTTCAGCCAGGTCACGTCGGAAACCGGACTGACTGTTCAAATGTGTTCGGAGTCGTCTTGGGGGATGCGTCGTAAACAATCATTCTGATTTATCATGCACATTCCATCCTAGGATCACAATGCGCAATGCATGAAGAGCAGGAAACTAAAACAGAACCAGCAGGGCAACCGAGAAAACTCAAGAGGGAAGGACACGTAAAGATATGGGTTTTCAAAGCAGACTTAACTATATCTACCGACTTTGATTGCCTGATTTTAAGTGGCAAGACGTTCCATAGTCTGGGTGCCACGCTCACGAAAGCACGATCACCAACAGAGCGCAACCTCGACCTGGGAGTGCTGAGCAGTTGGAGATCCATGGTGGCATTATATAAGATGCGTAGATGTGTGCCGGTGTAAACCGGAGAGCGCCTATATTTGTGTTTTTGTTTGGGGAACTGTTCAGGAAAGGGTGACGTGTTTGGAGACGTCTTCTGGAAGGAGCGGGTGATCGCTCCGTCGTGCGCCAACGTACGCGCGCTCACCTACTGCGACCTGCACGTCATCCGGCGCGACGCGCTCATCAAGGTCCTCGACTTCTACATGGCCTTCGCAAACTCCTTCTCCAGGAACCTCATCCTCACCTACACGCTCCGCAAGAGGGTGAGCGAGCGTGCGAGCGTGTGCGTGCGTGCGTATATGTGTGTGCGTGTGTGTGTTTGTGTGTGCGTGCACGACCTACATCGCGCTCACACTGAACAGCCCGTGCGCGGAAGCGCCTATATCACTAAAGGATAAATATTCCACTCATCTGCTGATCAAATGAAAAAATCTATCGCACAAATTCTCCATTATTCATGTCACTTAGAACAGCAGAAAAATTACACTGCCAAGAAGCAAGAGAAACACGAGTGTGCATTCCGTCTTCGAACACGACACCTATATTCCACAAATCATTTGTATGCACGATACACAGCAAGGGTTAAGTGTAGAGAGTTCAGCTAAAACATGTCAATGCTCTCTCAAATATCCTCTGTGAGTGCGCCCGCGCTACGGTCGAGCAGGTTTACGATAAATTAATTAATGTGAAGCGACGCCCTGACGTGACATCTGCTACTCAGGGCTCCAATATTCTCGCACTGTTAGCGCTGTTCAGCGAGTGCGGAGTGTGCTATGACTTACTCTGCAAGCTCGACATTGAGCCATGACATCTACATTTGAATGTAAATGGCATTTGAATCCAACTGCATCTCAAGATGCTTGAGATAATAATAGTAAAGCTATTGGCAATTGCAAAAAGAGCTTAGGATCCGGAGGTACAATATTCATCAGACGTTGCATTGTAGCTGCTGTGCCCCCGTGTTAACACGCTCATTCCTCCACTTCGACCTTGTCACCTCGAACACTTACAAAGCTGTCGCCAGGTTCACCAAGCCACTACACGTGTCACCTTCAATCTCCTTCAAATGGGTTCCTCATTCCACTGACCCTTGCTTCTCTATCATCTAACGCCTATCGCTCCTCTAACCTCTATCTGGGGACCCCGCATCACCGCCGTTGCCAAGGGAACTGGCAAAGAGACTGTGGCTTCTATTTTAACAAAAAGCCTCAGCGCTCTGCAGGTCAGGGGTCTGTACAGTTTAGTGTTTGGTTTGTTGTCCTTCCCCCGCACCTCCGATTAGCACGGTTGGCTACGTGCGGTGGTGCGAAAGAAGTTCAACAGACATGCAGATGCCACATCAGGATAGCGGGTGAACGATAACACTGAGGGCCTGGTGTACGTCTTGAGAATTACACCTGAAACGCACACTTTGGCTGTTTGCCGCATCATTGGTTCAAGAGACAGCACTTTTTTCATAAATAAAAACATTTAAGATTATTATTATTTTTATTTTATGATCCAGGAAAGTCTATTTGACTCTCAGTATGTAGCGACGTTGCTGCTGCTGTGTGTAATCCCAATTGAGTAATTGTCAGGTTATTTTTCAGCATTGCTATGTTCGGCCAATAGCAGTGACATTGTGTGTTGTGTAGCTATGGGAGGAACCGGTGAACGCGGAATTTAAAATCCACGCAGAACAAGGGGAGAACATACAAACTCCACACGCTCACTCAAACTCTGCAGAACAGGGGGAGAATGCCCCTGGTGTAAATCCAGCCCAGGCCTTGTGAGGAAACACAGGTCTAACGTATCACAAAATAGGCAATATATAAATACCACTTTTAATTTGATTGTTCGTTTCATTCGAGACATACGATGGATACCAACATATGTTGTGTTTTAAGAACAGCATGTTTGACTTTTGACCATGAATTCTAGAAAATAATTCCACATTCAGTATTCACCTTGCGATGTGTGTATTTCCTATTTTCAGATTCCAATTGCAGGAAAATTTTTCGTCGAAGTTCCTTTTAAAAAAATAGTTTTTTGTTTGAGTAATAACTGTGAGCGGTTAAGTGCAGATTTTTTTTCCTCATCAATTATTCAGCTTCACATACCGAGGCAAAAAAAACCCCCTTGAAATCGGACGGCGTGGCCTCGCGTACCGACCGCGCCCTCGCTCGAGCACACGTCGATTGAGCGCGCGTCTCGTCCCCCGCAGCTGATCTTCCGCAAGATAAGCGACGTGAAGCGCGAAGAGGAGGAGCTTCAGAAGCTCAAGAACGAAGCGCCGCTCGACATCCCGCCGGACCACCCGGTGCGCAAGCTCTTCCAGCGCTTCCGCCAGCAGAAGGAGGCGCGCCTGCAGGCGGAGCGGCAGCGCCAGCTGCAGCAGCAGGACCTGGAGACGGGAGGCTCGTTCTACGACAAGCTCGGCGCCGACACTGCGGGCCCCGCGCCGCCCGGCGTCTCCGCGGCCGGCGAGGCCCACCTGTCCGTGGTCACCCTGCTGCGGCCCAAAGTCCAGAACGCGGACGCCGCTCAGGTGCAGGTGGCCGACGCGCGGGCCGCCGTCTCGTCCGCGCCCAAGAGGGCCAGCATCGGAGGCGGCGGCGGCAAGGGCTGGGCCAAGATCAAGGGCCCCGCCGACTACCTGCAGGTGGAGGGCGCCAAGAGGGGCGAGTGGGCGGGCGAGCAGGTGGCCAAGGCCGAGTCGATGGAGACCCTGCCGCAGCGGACGCGCGCGCAGATGCACGTGCAGGACATCCACCCGCCGCTACGCAAGACCGACTCGTGCGACAGCGGCATCACCAAGAGCGACCTGCGGCTCGACCGAGCGGGGGACGCCAACGTCGCGGGCAGCCCAGTGATCGGCGCGTGCGTCGGCGTCGGCGGCGCCAGCGGCCCCAGCACGACGCGGCCCAGCCCTACGGAGCCGAGCCCCGCGGCGGCGTCCGGCATGGCCACGCTGGTGGCGGCCACCACGACGGTGGCGTTGATGACCCCCCCCGCGGACGGCAAGCAGCCGTTCTCGCCGATCCCCGAGCAGAGCCTCTACGCGGCCGTCGTGGAGGTGAAGCTGGAGCTCAAGGAGGACATCGAGGCCCTGGGAGAGCGCGTCACGGGCCTCGAGAGGCAGCTCGCCGAGATCCTGGGCCTCCTGCGCAGGGACGCGAGGCCACCCTCCACGGCGCCGCGCTCGCCCGCCCTCTCCCCGCAGGATGTCTTCGACATGTCGAGGCCCATAACGCCGTCGCCCGACAAGGAAAACTTTCAATTCTAAAACTAGCTTTAAACGAGAAGGTTTTGCATAACAGTTTCTTGCTTCGGTAGAAGGTTTTAAAAAAAAAAAAAGGATTTTTGAAACACGGTAGTGACGTAACGACATTTGTCTTGGATTTCTTAAAATGCTGTGAACGTTAATCACACTCTATTTTATATAAAGTGAGGTGGTCAAGAATTCCTTGTGGTGACTGCTGCGAGACGCGTGAATGCGAAACAAGGTACTGTGCATACGGCAAGAGGTGAGAAGATATCATGACCGAGTTTACAGTGCTGCGTGTGTGTGTGAAGCAGCTGTGAATAGGAAATTGTTATTTCCAGATTTCTGCTCAAAAGTCAGATTGCTTTTACTTGGAATGCATTTAGAGCCTTACACTTCCTTACGTTTTGACTGTGGTTTTGCCTGCATGCATCGTTCTGAAAAAACAATAAGGAGACTAGGAGCGCCGCTATAAAATCACTAATAAAACAATACTGCATGAGTGTTATTACTTGAGGTTGCTAGGACGTCACACCCGTGAGCAGTGGAGTGAAGATTCAGAGTGGAAGTCACTGGTGTTTTGAGTACAGTACTTCACGAATGCAATTAAAATTGTACCATATTTTTGGGAGTTGTTTTATATTCAGGTATGTTTTTTACGTATTTAAGTCACGAAATTACATTTTCGAAAAGTGAAGAAACGTTTGATGCTTTTTATCAGGTTTTTACATCGCTGCTCGTTGACGCTGCCGGTCGTTGACGCCAGCACTGAAGGGTTCGCACAGAGTGGGGCAGCTGTTGGAAGTGCAAGGCTCCATAGATTCCTTTTAAATTGATTTCTTAACACAAGACTTAAGTGCTGATATAGCAAAAAAAAAATTACTTGGGCGTCTACTGCTAAGGCGAGAGGTAGTATTTGTATGATTGTTATTGTTGTCGTTGTTATTTTATGATACGTCATTAACGTGACACTAAACACTGGAGGGAAATGTGGGCACGTGTTTGGAAATGCGTTGTACTTGAAACAGGCATGCAGCACAGCACTATCATTGAATATAACGTGCTGACATGCCAAGCAATCGTGAGCCCTTTGTGTGAGACGTCAAGTGTCTATTAAAGTATTACACTGCTCCTACAGGCTTGCTGCGCTCGTCACTTGCTGCGTGTGTTGGGTCTTACTCGGGTGAACCTGTTGGGAGGTGGGGACTACTCGGATGAACCAGCCCTCGTGATCCAGCACCGTCTGCCTCTCCATGTTTTCCAATATTTTATTTTGACATACACATTTAAATAGCTCCACACGCTGCACGTGCCTGATACTTGCTAAACAACAGCACCGCGGCAAGCAGAGAGCGCCCGATTGAAATTCAGATCGTGTTCGTGTGTGTGTGTACACGTGTTCGTGGGGAGCGGTAGTTATAGCGTTTTACCCTGTACTCGAGTTCGATTCCCGCTCACAGCCAACACGATTATCTGAACCGATCATGGGCCACCCCTAGGTCGACTCAGCCTCAAACGAGTACCTGGTGTGGTGTGTAAACAACACTACTGGGGAGACAAAGGCGGTCTGGCGTGATGCTGCCCACCCGTCCACTCGTGTGCAGTGCTGACCTTCATAGGTGCTCGCTAACGCCACCTGCCCCAACAAGTTTGTTAGGGCTATACGAGTGATATTTTTTCCTTTGTGTTATATTACTGTTAATATACAGTATGTAATCTTGTTTCAAGCACAATGAGAGTTGATGTCCACGTTGGTAATGCCCTTTAGACACTGGCGAGCCAGCTGCTAACAACCCTGCCGGCTGCGCTCACCGGTTTACAGGTAGTGTAATTAATGTGTATCTGTGTAACACCTACTTTGTTGCTCATTTGAGATATTTACGGAAGAAGGCGTCATCAACCATTGTATAACATCATCGACATAGATTTTTCAACAAACTACAGTATTTTGAGCAATTACTAAATTGCCACTTTGGTACGACTCCCTTAATAGTGTATTTTAAAAGCCTTTCTTAATCCATTACCGTGACTGTACTGTTGGAGTAAGAGCTTTCTTCCCTCCTGATCCCAGCTTAATCTGACTTGTCTCTCCATGGATCTCTCAGTTCACATGAGATTTAGCGAGGGCCTTCAATAATCCAGCTAATTCCCTTTTAATCTCACCGTGTATCTGAAGGTGTCGTGCATAGCTTGTTAGAGATGTCATATGCCCTGATCCTGCATTATGAGAATAGGAGAGAACACATCGTTGGGCCTTCCTAATCAATCATTTTACGCGATCTAACCCCGAAAGAAACCTGTATATGGATGATGTAGGGTCTACAGTTCACAATCATAGCTAAAGCGAAACATTAAAAATGTGATAACCACTCGCTGTGTAAAATGTTGAGCGCCCAACGATAACAGGGGCAGGTCGTTGCTACGTTTACTTAACGTAGTAAACATCACTTAAACATCCGGTGAAATCTAGTCAATCTTGTGTAGCCTATGTATGCACTGCAATGTAATGTCTCCCACCATCTTCTATCCACTGCTGGATGAAGGCCTCCCCAAGTCGTCGCGGACCCTCACGGTCTCGTCACACAACGACACGTGTCCCACGCGAGCCAGTCTCGTCCGCTCCGTCTCCGCTGTGGTCGTCCTCTCGATCACTTGGCCATTCCTGACCATCGACCACCAACCCCTTTCGGGCGATGACCCCTCCCTATCCCACTCAACCGTCGTGATGGTGTCTCTCTACTCTGCGCTTGCTTTCTGACCCACACATTATTCTCTCGGTCGCGCTGTAATTCGAAGCCTGCCGTTCGCCACGTTTCCTTGTGCACTTTGCAACTTTGTTCCCGTTGTCAGCTTTGTTCCCGTTGTCAACTTTGTTCCCGTTGTCAGCCTTGCTCCCAAGCGTCGCAGTTTCTGATCCATGCGTCGAAAGCGTGCAACAACCACGGATGCCAAGCATCCCTTTCGCTATCGAGCGCGGATTTCCGAAGCGCTCCAACCTCCTCTCGCTCCTCGCTTCGTCCGATGTTTATCTGCTCTGCCTTTTTAGGCAGGCATCCGGCAAAGCAACATTCAATGAAATGTCTTTTCACTTCTCTCATTTCACCATATTAGCATGTTACATTAACCACAGCTCATCGTGAAATGTGAACAAAAAATGTCTTGAACTTCAGCTCAGATGTTGATATGATTACAGTGAAAATGTGCTATTAAAGTACAGCTTAATATCTCTCGTGGCGAACTACACACATTGCCTGCAGGGATATGTAGTGATTCCAGTCCAGGTAGTGAGGTGAGTGAGCTTTGCCCCGGGGTTTGTAATCCGCAGGGGACATTAGGTGAGTAAGTAGGGCACAGTCGGGAAGCGGAGGCGATGTTGCATGCATCACTGGCTGCTGGGCGACTCTTCACACGAGTCGGCGTGGATTTGACGACTGGGCAATGTTAAGCGGAGCTGACTAAGTGATCTGGAGCAACTCCACGTCCCTGATAATCTATGAAATTTCAGTCCAGTGCCTCCAATCACCGCGGAAAACACAATCCACCTACAATATGCCCAGACAAAGCTCATTTCAAAATAGAGTCCCATGTCCCAATTGGGTCATAGATACCACCACCACCGCCCCTAATTAGTGCATGGTTTGAAGTAATTCAGCTCAGCCAGTCACCTCGTTAATGTTAAGCCGATGGCCCCGTAGGCCTGATGATCTCACTCTCAACCATCGTCCAGGGGAACTGGTCGGATTGCTTTTTGGTTTGTTTAATTGAGCAGGTGAGCTCGACAGTGGAAGCACATTCATCAACTTGGCAGGAAAACACATTCACAGGTAAGTGGCGTTTTCATCCTACGTGTTAAATGTCCTCTTAGGGGCCGTCCATAAATGACGTCACGCGATTTTGGACAATTTTTGACCCCCCCCCCCCCATCGTCACACGGCGTCACAAAAAGTCAGACCCCCCCCCTCAAACATGACGTCACAAAGCTCTGCCCCCCCCTCAAAAAAAACATGCTTCAAATCGATTTAAAGCTTTCGTGACTGCAGGGATTCATATTCTTGGTTCTTTCGGTTTGTCACGTAGAAGGGAAATAATCAAATAATAAAAATATTAAACAATAAAATTCTCACGACGTTTCGACTGCAACACAAGCAATCATCATCAAATTTTCTTGTTGTGGATGTCACACCTGATGATGAGTGCTTGTGTTGCAGTCGAAACGTCGTGAGAATTTTATTGTTTTATATTTTTATTATTTTATTATTTCCCTTCTACGTGACAAACCGAAGGAACCAAAAATATGCTTCAAATCGCTTTAAACTATTGTCATCGTAGTGCGTATTTAATGTGCCGCTGCACTCTGATGTTGTAGGAGAAAACATTTAAAAGTCAATTTAATTAAGTAGAACGTGTTGTCTATATTTAAAGTTGCGCATTTTGATCTGACGTCACATTTCTCACCCCCCCCCCCACCCCCTTGTCACACATCGTTACAAATGTCTGACCCCCCCCCCCCCTAGGTGCGTGACGTCATTTATGGACGTCCCCTTATCCACAAAACATCTATTAAACAAAACATGAACAACATTTATTCCTTCGGCGTTTGGTATACGTGCAGTACAAAAAGGTCCGGACGTTGCAAGCGAAGAATGAAATCTCTGACGATGCGGGAAGGTGGGGGGACTGCGTGCGAATGCGCCCATTGTTCTCCGATTGGTTTAACTGGACGTTGAATGCTACCTCGACGAGAGGACGTCCTCGGAAAGCCGGGAGAGGTGGGCCAACTTGAGTTGGGAGTGGCAATTGTGAGGATCATGAAGCAGCGTCAAGGCGTGGGCCGAGCGTGCCCTCTCAAGGCCGTCCCGCACTGCCCCCTGGTGCACGCAAGGGCCACCATGACGCGCGCACGAGGAACGATGATTCCGGCTGTGATGATTGGACAGCGGGGGTGGCACTTGTGTCCCACGGCAAGAAGGGCGGCCTGGCGTTCGATTCCTGGCTACGGGCGCCTTTCTTTGTCGAGTCGTGTGTGTTCTATTGCCCATGTTCTACATAGATTTCCTTCCATGACAAAAAAAACCCCACAACGCTGAAAAGGAACCTGAAAAGTACGCAAATAGAATTGCACGCGGCAATTCAGAGTCAGGGGCGAGCGTCGGGCTGGCAATTCAGAGTCAGGGGCGAGCGTCGGGCTGGCAATTCAGAGTCAGGGGCGAAAATCGTGCTGTCAATTCAGAGTCAGGGGCGAGCGTCGGGCTGGCAATTCAGAGTCCGGGGCGAGAGTCGGGCTGGCAATTCAGAGTCAGGGGCGAGCGTCGGGCTGGCAATTCAGAGTCAGGGGCGAGAGTCGGGCTGGCAATTCAGAGTCAGGGGCGAGAGTCGGGCTGGCAATTCAGAGTCCGGGGCGAGAGTCGGGCTGGCAATTCAGAGTCCGGGGCGAGAGTCGGGCTGGCAATTCAGAGTCCGGGGCGAGAGTCGGGCTGGCAATTCAGAGTCAGGGGCGAGCGTCGGGCTGGCAATTCAGAGTCAGGGGCGAGAGTCGGGCTGGCAATTCAGAGTCAGGGGCGAGCGTCGGGCTGGCAATTCAGAGTCAGGGGCGAGCGTCGGGCTGGCAATTCAGAGTCAGGGGCGAAAGTCGGGCTGGCAATTCAGAGTCAGGGGCGAGCGTCGGGCTGGCAATTCAGAGTCAGGGGGCGAGAATTGTGCTGTCAATTCAGAGTTAGGGGCGAGGATTGTGTTGTCAATTCAGAGTCCGGGGCGAGAGTCGGGCTGGCATTTCCAGGGTTTTTGTGTGGAAGTGGAAGGGAAACGTAACGAGTGCACGCAAGAAATTGAGAGCTACTCAGCATCCTTCACTACAATAACAAAAGCAGAAAATATTGCACAATTAGTTAAAGGAGGGGGTGATAATTTCAGACCCAGGAACGCAATCTTATGTTTCCAATAAGGTATATTATTTGCCAAACGAGGTTTTGCTCAACACGGCATTTTCCTGGAACGTAACCCCCCATATTCGGCGAGGTGTGCCTGTGCTGTACTTGTGCAGTATATTACAAGTGCGGGTTTACCACCGTTACCGCTTGTACGTTAAAACATATCAGGCATTGTTCCACAAGTAAACTGAGGTGGGATACTCAGTATCCGAATGAGTAACTCATAAGTTACCAATTAGCAACTAACTCGAAATAAATACGGTGGCGAGATGTTAACGCCCTCGCCTGGTCTGCATGAGGCCGTGGGTTCGATCCCTACCCTGACGCCTGCTGTATATTTCGAGTTTGCGTGTCTCCCCGTGGTCGCTTGGATTTTTCTTCAGGTCCTCCGCTTTTTCCCTCCACGTTTAGTAATATGAATTTCGAATTTCCACATGATTAGCGACTTATTTTGGCTGCCATTTGTGGCCAGATGGCCTCTGAAAAAGAGCTATATAGCTTAGTGGGCCTTACCTGGTAAAATAAAACCTATATTTCGTTTAGAATTCGTAGATAACTTACAATTTCAAACATGCAAATAAGCCCGTTTTTTAAAATGACACGTGTTCGGTCCACTGGATGGCGACAGGGAGCCAGCGGTGCGAGGTGAGATTTGCTGACAGCTTTTCAAGGAAACCTCGAATGGATCTCGTCGATTTCGGGAAGAAAGAAAACAGATCGGTACAGAAAGAGGAACGTGGCCGATTTAATAAATAAACGACTCCCTTACACCAAGCAGTTTTCCATCCGTTTGATGAAAATGTATTCATATCCATTTATTGAGTCACTTTTGTACAAAGTTCACAACTCTTTAACATTTTCATTTACAAAAAACACCTTTCCATTTTTATCTTTGAAAAAAATTACGTCATGAAATGCAATGCCGCTCATCAATATTCAATACTACTCACTTTTGTAAACGTATCATTGCAATTAATTTGCATACAAGAAAGCTTGTTAAACGTAACCAGTAGCTATTCTATAGACATTGGCTGTATCAAGATGTCGATGCGTCTCTTTGATATAATGGATTTGAGTAGCGGTTTAAACTCTTGGCATCAGTAATACTCAGCAGTGGCAAAATGACCCCCAGCTCCTCTGTGCTCGTGACCTCCACCCCGTAGCGAAGCGAGAGAAGCGAGGTCTCGGGTTGGAGAGCGTGCAGGTGTGAGTCGAGAGCAATGATGCATCCACAGACCACGTTCACTACGAGTTCACGATCCTCATTCGAACCGCTGTAATGTCCACACCGCGTTCACACACGCGTGACGTCACGTCCCAGTCGACATGCCAGCGCTGGCATCTGGTTGGACCAACGTGAAAACCAAACGTTGACTCAACGTTCCTTGTTGACTGGGATGGCTTCGTTAAAATAATTAAGAAATATAAACATTGACAATACGCCTAAACTGCAGCATTGTTGCGCAGGCATGAAGACTCGCCACTCACCCTACCTTGCATACACATCTTATCTGGAGTAAAGACAGAACGAGTGCAGATAATTCCTCAATGTGAGGATGCTTTCTACTAAATTCAGGATGACGCCAAAATCGGTGAGGGTGGGGTGGGGGAATCGACAAAAAAACTCCGAGTTCTGTCTGAAGGTCCCGTGGGTAGCGGTGGTCGTAAACTCTGGTCTCGCCGATCGCGAGAGAAGTCACTGGCAACACGAATCATGGCACCTCCACTCCCGCCTCGAGCTGCGGCTCTTCATAGCAACCGATGCGGTTATTCTTCGTTCGAGTACGGGGAGCATACCATCACGGCGCTATAGAGAGGGGGCTGTTAAATGGGTTTGTCAATCAGGTCCGGATCAGCTCATCTCGGAGAGGGGGGGGGGCAGTCGAGCCGTTGTGTGTGGGGGGGGGGGGGGGCACCGTATCAGTGATTCACGGCGAGGGAGGAGAGAACTTGTGGGGGGGGGGGGGCAAAGAGACAATGGAGAGGTGGGGGGGGCAATGGGTGGTGCAGGGCCAACGGCAGCGCCCTGCGAGCGCCGGCCGTGGAATTCAATGATGAACAGAAAAAGTTAACAAAAATATATATAATTATTATTTATATTCTTTGGGTCTTTCGGTAGTCACATATATAGGTTGAAATAATATAAAAAAGAAGTTGTTTTCCCTCCTGATGACGATCGCTTGTGTTGCGATGGAATCGTCGTCGTTTTTTGTTATTTTCTCTCAACCTATCTACGTGACTTTACCGAAAAACCCAAAGAATATGAATTCCTGCAATCACGAAAGCTTTAAGTCGATTATTATTTATGTTCAGAATATAATTGCGTTATCTTTTTTTCATCACGAATGTGTTTATGTTGCAGTGTCTGTTTAGATTACTTATACATTTCGGATTTGATTTACTAATTTTCGTGTTTGGGTTTTATTTAAGCTAAGTTCTAGTCCAGGTCTCCGCAACCTACGACTGCTTCGTGACGTTTTTTTTTATTTCAGGACCACCACCGTCTGGGACTCACGAGCATTGCGGCTCTTGAACGAGGTTTTATTTTTACTAAATATATTTTTTTAATTTTCTTGTTATTTGTGTTGCAGACCCCTGCTCAAGTCTAACTCATCACCCCGCTTCGTGGGTGACAGGCGACGGCCTCAGACAGCCCACGGGGCGCGCACAGCCGCAGGCGCGTCCCAATTAGACAATCACGCCTCTTGCGGTGTTACAGGTGCGGGCTTCATCCTAATTGCGTGGCTTGTTGTTTGTTTTTGGGCTCCATTTTATGCTGCTGCCGCTTGTCGATGACGATCGTGGACAACACGAGCACGCGTTGGCCTAGCGGGAGCAGTGGCAGGAGGCAGTGTGAGGATCAAAGCCGCCTCTGGTGATGGGGAAGGGGTGGAGTCGGCGGCATGATGGGTTGGCATGATTATGATGATGATGCAGTTGGTGGCTGAGTTTGGGGTACGATGATGATGATGTAGCCGTGATGTGCTGCTTCGTGGCCTCGGACCGGAAAGCCAGGATTTCACAGTCTCAGACACTTTTTTTTCTTGAGAACTGCTTTTTGTGTTTGGTGTTGCCCTTCCCGTGCACCTCCAATGAGCGCGGTTGGCTACGCACGGAGCGCGAAATTATTCCAACGTAGATGCATGTGCGCATCAAGAGACAGGAACGCTCCCCGTGGACCCATGACACCCGGCTACCTGCGGCAGGCAGACACGGGCCCCGGCTACCTTGACGCACGGATTTGCCGTGGAGCTGCACTCTGCTCACCCGACACCGCCCGCATCGACTGCACTGCGGCAGCTGCGGCAGCCCCAGCTCCCTCGGTGCCACCGAGCAAGCCAATCGATTATAGGCGTTTAAAAAAAAGGCAAAGCACTTTCATGCTCAGATAAACATAGTTGTGTCTTTCCTGCACTAGCGCTCCATCTTCAGAATAGTAATGATTACTATTCTTCACACATCTTGGACGCCATCCATTGGTGATCTGCAGTATCAGGGACAATGGCAGAACAGTTGATCTCCGTGGATAGCAAGACCTATACCGGGGAAGCGGAGCAGAATTAAAATGAGCTTCTCTGCACGATGGTTATGGGGTAGGGAATAAGCGTTAGGCTTGACTGCTACTGCTCGGGTTCGGCAAACAGAAGCTTACTCTCAGGAGGTAAGAGCACACGTGCGGATTTGAGTTTGCATCTCTTATGCATAAGAGACTAAAACCGAGTAAATTAACAGAGACAAGCGAACATCTGGGAGACATTTTCCCAGGCCTCATCATCTACCCTGATTGCTCTGGCAAGGTCTCGGGGTTTGCAAGCAGAGCGACGGCGCGGGGCCTCCCGGGAGGAGCGCACCGAGAGAGGCCCGGCTCGGCCTCGCGCTTCGGCCGATCCCCACGGGCCACGGGACCCGCGCCGCCGCCGCCGCGTTTCTCCCTCACTTTGGAACGTCCGCGCACGGCCCCGTCCGCGCGCTCCCGCGACCCCAGCCCTCGGCGGCGGCAGCACCGGGGCTTGACGCCCGAGGACGGCTCGCGCACCGCCCGGCTCGGGTCGCCCGCGACGCCGCGCGGCGGGAAAGCGGCGGTGGCATGCGAGCGGCCGCCCGAAGCGTCCTCCTCCGACTCCTCCGACTCCTCGGCGGGGGTCCCGGAGGGGGCCCCCTCGTCGTCCGCTTCGCGATCCTCGGCCCCGGCGTTCCCGGCGGCGGCGGCCGCGGCCGCGTGGACGTAGCGAGCCCAGCAGCCGGCCGCCGCCACCGCCGCCGCAGCCGCGCCGAGGTGCCGCTGGAACGCGGCCGCCGAGGGGCCATCGGCGTAAGCGGCGGCCGCCGCGGCCGCGGCCGCGGCCGCCGCGGCAGCACACGCGCCGCAGCCGAACGCGGACGCCGCCGTGCGGTATCCGACCGCGCAATCCGCGTACGAGCGGTACTCGTCGGCGGCCTCGCCGGCGTCGCCGCCCACGCCGCCGGCCGCCACGGCGCAAGCGGCGCGCTCCTCGCACTCGTGGCCGTGCGCGCGGCCCGTCGACAGCCGTGGCCGCTTGCCGTAGGGCGGCGGCGGCGACGGCGAGAGGGGCGACAGGCCGCAGTGGGTGGCGAGCCACGCCTCGGACGCCGCCGCGTACTGCCGGTGGCCGTGCTCGGACGACGCCGCCGCGGCGGCAGCGGCGGCCGCGGCCGCGGCGGCCGCGGCGATGGTGGCCCGCTGGAGGCCCGGGCAGCAGCTGTCCGTGCTCCACTCGCTGCGCAGCTGCAGGTGGATGCGCCGCAGGAGGTTGTTGATGAGCACCGAGCGGCGCAGCAGCAGCTCGGGGTCGTCCATGATGCGCAGCTTCTCCACCGAGAGCTGCAGGATGTGCGTGCGGTCCTCGGGCACCGGGACCCTCTGCGGAGGAGGAGGGGGAAGGGGTCACGCGCACGCGGGCGCCCACGGAGGGTTCGAGGCGAGGCTCTCCCGACAGCCGTGACAGACTGTGGGGACAAGTCCGGCACGGGGCTGGGTGGCCGGCAACCACGCCCGGTCGCCTTTGTATCCCCAGTGGCCATGTTTACACACCGCACCAGATACGCATTTGGGGTTGAACTTACCTAGGGGAAGGCCCAGGACCGGTTCAAATAATCGTCACCGATGTTGGCCGCGAGCGGTCATCGAACTCGATCAACTGGCTAAACGGGACTATCGGTGTAAAAAACAAAAATGGAAACCAACTCGCGTCGTGTGTCCGCACACGCTGCGTGCGCCAGCGAGCGGCATCATCAGCCGCGTGAGCGCTCCGCTCGTCGTGCAGGTGCCGCTGTGGAGGATCCTCACCTGCGACAGGGCCCTAGTCTGGCTCGACGAGGGCGCTCGCTCGGCGGTGTCGCTCCCAGGGCTGCGCATGGGCGGGTGTCTCCGTGTGCTCGTCATCCGGGAGTCTGCATGTTTTGATCGTTGGCAGCACCAGGGTCATGTCTCTTGGCGCGATCAGGCAGGAGACGCTGCGGGAGCCACGGGGTTCGCGTGTCAAGAACGGCGTGCCAACGACGTCAGAGCTCTGCCGGCGTGCGCGGCACACTTCTACCGCTTTTCCACTGCACAGCCGAGCCACAGAAGCGGGCATGGCGAGGCAGCCCGGGTGAAGGGAAGAGTCACGACTGATTCAGCCAGGAGTCAAACTCGGGCGTCCGGGTGGATATTGCAGTGTGAAAACTACGGCACGTTAAATTTTTATGTAAAGCTTTCGTGACTGCAGGGATTCATATTATTGGTTCTTTTGGTAAAGTCACGTAGAAGGGAAACAATGAAATAATAAAAATATAAAACAATAAAATGTCCCTTCTACGTGACTTTACCGAAAGAATCAAGAATACGGCACGTTAATTCGTGTACACTCATGGCAAACAAACTGCATTATGATCCCAGTGAGGAACGTGGCATGTATACTGCGCATGAGACTACAAACAATTAGAAACTGCTCAACAAGGGAGATAAATCCTGCCAGTAGCTCATTAGGATGTTTTGGATATGAGGCGTTACAGGATAATGGAGTCTAAAGTAACCGTACAGCATCGCCAGCACCACGTGTGGTCTCTGGCACGCGACTCGGCAGCGACTCGGCAGCGTGCTCTACTCTGTGCTGTCAAACGCTGATCTGAGGCGCAACAGCCCTGGTCGGCCTAATCCCGTGCACCCCCAGCACCTAGATCTCAGAGAGTGCCCTTGCCTCCTGAGCAGTCCACCAGCGTTGATGCAAGCGCGCCTGACTGCTGCTGATGAGACCCTGCGTGTCGACACCGGTTCAGAAGTGTGCTCGTCTTCAATCAGTGCTGCTGAAGTTAGCCACTCCCAGAATGCTGTGCGGCTGACGAAGTGTTTCAGAAGTAAAGCGACGGCTCCACGCGTTACAGAGGAGATCGTTGGACGATTTAGCAAGCGAATTGAGATTGGTAGGAGACGTTTAGCGGTAAAAAAAATATATAGAATAAATGTTGATTTGTATACGATGAAATGTAAACATTGTAGTGGGGTATGTATACATAGATCACCCTATATATTAAAATAATTACGCGGGGATTACAAATCAGATACAATGGGATTCCACTGCGATCCAGAGTTACCACCGTTTAATCTTTGCCACGCAATATCCATCCCGAAATTAAGGTCCCGACGGGCAGAAGAACCCGCGGCAAACCCAAACTTCAATACCGGGGCAGCGACGCCGGCGACTCGCGCTGCAGTCATCGGACTCGGCAGCGAGTCGGCGCAGCGGACGAGGCAGCGGTAGTCGCGTTCACTGGAACAGTCGCGCCGCAGCGATAGGTCACAACACAAGCAGAGGGGCAGCACAGGACATCTGGCTTGAAGATCGGGCTGTACAGGGCTGCATCAATAGGTTTAGATTGCCACGGAGGTGGTGGTATTGCTATTCCGCGTGTATACCCAGGGGAGCCTCACAGAGTCCAAAGACTCTCTGTTATCAGGAGGGTCCTGCCAAGTTTCCACAGTAGGGTGGGGGGGGGGCGATGTTGCTGCAGGTCATTTTTCAACATCGGAGTGTTTGGCCAACACGAGTGACGTTGTGTGTGTGTGTTTAATTTTAGCTAGGGGAGGACAGAACAGGGGGAAAAATCGAACAAACTCCACACAGAAAGGCATCGGAGTCAGAAATCGAACCCCATGCCCTTTTTGGCGGGTGTCAAAGTGGCGAGAGTGAATCTATGTTAAGCAAGAGTTGCGGGTGGACACTTTCGCACGGTGACGTTGAAGATACCTGAACGGCGGCCGCGATGCCAGACAAGTACCGGGGATGGGTTCGCTGCAATCGCTCAGGTCACGTGCTTGCACTCCGAGATGGATTGTTGCATCGCAGGGCCGTGACAGATGGCGACGATACGGAGCCAGCAAGGGAAACGCGATAATCTCATACATTACAAAACCCCATCCTCTCTGTCGGATGTGTGAAGCTGCATGTGTTGGAGTTACGGGCTTAATTTCTCTTGGGTCTGTCGGCAGCGGTGACTCGCTAAATTATTTCTGCACCCGGTGCACCACATCCAGTATACACCTCGCGATGGCCGTGGGCTAGTGGCCCGTGCCCACTTTCCAGTCTGCCAGCGACTTGGAGAGTATCCAGTAAGAACTAAAGCCCTTGCTTTGAGTCATATGAAAGTGGTGGCTAACCGGTAACCGGCCTCCTTGACCTCAGGGTGGTTTGACCTCGGAGTGGCTGACAACTAAGAAAAGGCAGACGAGCTTCCAGCAGGGCTGACAGAGCGCACCTAATGGTGGTGGAGCCGCGGGTGATGACAGCATGGATTTGCTAATGAGAGTAGCGACGGCTTTGTGCATTGCCAGCCACCGACGACTGCTCAGTGACGAGTGTTCCAATAAGATTAGAAATGGTGAAACATGTTTCAATGCTGATGGAAGTGCTGTTCGCAGGTGTGGTCAGCTAATGATGGTGTAACGTAGGCAGGGGTTTTTTTCAGATCGTTTGCAGGTTGGTATGCTACCTCGCCGTTGGGAAACGGCAGAATTAATGTTGCCCATCTGATTGGTCCCTTGTGCACAGATAAACCATGCTCGAGTGTGCGTGTTTGTTTATTTATATTATCCTGATATTCACGTTTATATCGCAGGCAGATAATGCAACGTGGTCAAAGCCTCCTAATGTACTCACCGCCCTCAAGCAAACCGTAAGCGCTCGCGCTACTCACGCGCGTTGTAAAGACGAGACGACGACCTCGTTTATGACCGAAAATCATCAACCGCGCTTAGCCAAAATAGCGATGCAGCAGCCCTCGGTGGGAATCTCCAGGAGAGAGCGAGCGAGCGAGCGAGAGAGCGGATTCCAACAAAGAGCTTCGGTTGTTTTGCACATGCGACACCATCAAGCACCTTCAAAGCAAACTGTCTTCCCTCCCGCCTTGCCTGGGTATTATACCACGCGAGCATACCAATGAGGTCATTATAAACACTCCCTGGGTGGGTGCGAGAGAGGCGCGGAGCTGCCTGCCAAGCTGCACTATCGCCAGCTGCAGTTTTTTTTATAAATAAATTCGCACCGCACATCTCAGCCGGTGCAAGAAGACAACAACCGCTGTGCGCGGGCGAGCGCTTGTGTGTGGATTTGACTTGTACGCATTAAGCCAGCCTTCTTCATCGTGAGAGCGAGGCAGCCTTCTTCATCGTGAGAGCGAGGCAGCCTTCTTCATCGTGAGAGCGAGGCAGCCTTCTTCATCGTGAGAGCGAGGCAGCCTTCTTCATCGTGAGAGCGAGGCCGCCTTCTTCATCGTGAGAGCGAGACAGCCTTCTTCATCATGAGAGCGAGGCAGCCTTCTTCATCATGAGAGCGAGGCAGCCTTCTTCATCGTGAGAGCGAGGCAGTCTTCTTCATCGTGAGAGCGAGACAGCCTTCTTCATCATGAGAGCGAGGCCGCCTTCTTCATCGTGAGAGCGAGGCAGCCTTCTTCATCGTGAGAGCGAGGCAGTCTTCTTCATCGTGAGAGCGAGGCAGTCTTCTTCATCGTGAGAGCGAGGCAGTCTTCTTCATCGTGAGAGCGAGGCAGTCTTCTTCATCGTGAGAGCGAGGCAGTCTTCTTCATCGTGAGAGCGAGACAGCCTTCTTCATCGTGAGAGCGAGGCAGTCTTCTTCATCGTGAGAGCGAGGCAGCCTTCTTCATCGTGAGAGCGAGACAGCCTTCTTCATCGTGAGAGCGAGGCAGCCTTCTTCATCGTGAGAGCGAGGCAGCCTTCTTCATCGTGAGAGCGAGGCAGTCTTCTTCATCGTGAGAGCGAGGCAGTCTTCTTCATCGTGAGAGCGAGCCAGTCTTCTTCATCGTGAGAGCGAGCCAGTCTTCTTCATCGTGAGAGCGAGACAGCCTTCTTCATCGTGAGAGCGAGGCAGTCTTCTTCATCGTGAGAGCGAGGCAGCCTTCTTCATCGTGAGAGCGAGACAGTCTTCTTCATCGTGAGAGCGAGGCAGCCTTCTTCATCGTGAGAGCGAGACAGTCTTCTTCATCGTGAGAGCGAGGCAGCCTTCTTCATCGTGAGAGCGAGCCAGTCTTCTTCATTGCGAGAGCGAGGCAGCCTTCTTCATCGTGAGGGCGAGACAGCCTTCTTCATCGTGAGAGCGAGCCAGCCTTCTTCATCGTGAGAGCGAGCCAATCGGAGCCATTCCCTGTACACCTTGGGGTGCGACAGGGATGTCCACTGGCTCTTACGTTATTTTAGATTTATTTCGACCACGTAGTTCGTGAAGCCTTCAATAGCTGCACGGGAGGAATTTCCATCTGGTACAGATACAATGGGAGGCTGATCGATGCCCGGGTGCGGTCAAGGGATGGCTCCCTATTGCTCAACCACGTTATGTATGCCGATGATCTGGTGAATGCTGCTCACTCAGAGGAGGAGTTGGAGGCGCTGCTGCTGAACCTGGAGCTTGCCACTAAGAGGTGGGGCCTTACCATCAGCCCCACTAAAACGAAGCACCTGCCTGGGTATTTTGTACCATCGGACACTCCATTCCCACAACTCCCAATTGGTGATAGGGCAGTTGTGGAGAGTGGAGAGTTTCCCATACCTGGACAGTGTGCTCATGACCGGCTCCGGTTTAACAGCAGAGGTCTCACTCGGAATCAGTAGAGCGGCATTATATTTTCATCGGTTGCGTAACGCTGTGTGGAAGCTACCTGGTCTATCGCTCCGCACGAAGCTTCAGGTATTCTCGGCCACGGCCATTCCCTCCCTTCTCTACGCTTGCCAAACGTGGACCCCCCTAATGGAACATCTTCGCCAGTTAGAAACATTTAGGCTGGCCTGTCTACGATACATCCTGGGTTTAACCAGGCTGGATTGTGTGACGAGCTCAGAAATCCTTGAAAGATCTGGACAAAGTTACATTGGTGAGCTCCTCCGGCAAGCAAGGCTGCGTTGGCTGGGTCAGGTAGCCCGCATGCCCAGCCACCGCATGCCGAAACAGCTTTTGTTCGGCCGGATT